GATGGTTGCTCGTGCAGCGCCGCCGCACCTGTGAAGGAGTTTTTCAAACACAAATCACGGAAATCATAGATGAATACAAATAACAAACTCTGCGGCTTCCAGGCGCGCATCAGACGAGCGGCGGCTCATGAGCCCAAAACGGCCTAGAACAGCTCAAGTTGAGAGTTTTCGGCCCTGAAACAGCTCAAGTTGAAGGGGTTTGGCTCGAAACTTTGCGTGCCCAACACGGCCTAACAGCTCAATTGCAAGCCAACAACTCGAACAACCACGGTGCAAGCACAGATACAATCTTAAAGAGACCTCTTTTGTCAGAGAACTTGTTGCGGCTTGCCACCGGTTTGCTGTAACTTCCCTGCAGCGGTTCTGCAGACCCCCTAGCAGGCAAAAACAGAGGCCTACTCTGCACCTAGACGCCAGACAAGTAACCCATAAAATCGCTAGCAGAATGCTCAAGCTAGAAAGCTGCAAGCGCGCACAGCCGACATGAAAGTGCGACTACATAGAACTACAGAAAAGCTGCATGAAAAAGCAAAAGACATATGCAAGCTTTGTCTTCTCTTTCCTTTTGAGCATTGCAAGTGGCTGCACATACAAGAAGTAACAAGTGCATGAAGATTTGATGCAGACACTGTTGAGTAAGCACAACAATAACGTGTCAGGAGGCACACAAAGGAGAGCGAGCACAGCTTTTTCACACATAATCTGCCATGATGCTGTTGTGTGCTCTTAAAAACGCCCATACGTGCGCACATAGACCTAGTGCACATAAACCTAGTCAGTGCATTTCTGTACAGCTGCACTGTCCAGTCACTGTCGATACAACCAGTCACTGTCGATACAACGCGAGCCCAGGAATTCACCTAGCTGGCTCGGCAAAGCAACTGGTACTTCTCCGTCTTCGGTTTCTTGGATCCATCTGGCGACCAATAGGCGCGATCATTAGCTGCTGCAAAGCAATCTGCGTTGGGCCTGGGATGGCATCATGCATCCGTACGTGCATTCACACTTTACCTAGGCTGTTTGGCTGTTTGGGAAGCTGGTTTTCGCGAGCGTATATGTCGAAATGGCTCGGATGTGACACGCTCAAACTTTGAAGGCTGTCTCCGCAGCAGTGCGCAAGTTTGCTACATGAGGTGGAGAGACTTTAGTGCTGTGCAGGATGAAGGTCATGTCGTGACGCGAGGCAAGTTGCGCCCCTCCAACCAAGTGGCAGCGCACAACCAGTTACGCCACGCGATGCCGTCGCTTGGCGCCGGAGCTGCTGGAGCCGCCTCCAGAGCCTTTGTCCGGCTTTTTCCGATACTCCTGTAGAAGCACAGACACACAAAAAGCACACAGCAACAATCCGCAAGGGATGTTGCTCAAGGTTGCACCTGCAGCATTCTTTGGAGAGATCGCAATTCTTGGTGGTTCTTTTCCACCAATCGAGCCCAGACCACAAATACACCCAGCACCATCATGCGGTGCAGCCAGCCCTGGCAAGCCAACGCAACAGCTTGAAGATAACTGGAGACAACTCAGTCCGAAACAAAACCGCTCTTCGCCTCAGCGCTCCAAGGTAGGATTATGGCATTGTCCGGCACGAAAGCGGCCGGCTCATCGTCGCTATCTTCAATCTCATCGTTGTCCGCAGCGTTGCAAGGAAGAACAAAAGCAAGCGACAACAGCAAGAGCAGCATGATTTGCCAAAATCGCATCTTTGAAACTTTGAGGGAACACACAACCGTTTGTATGAAGGACTCTTCCTCACCTTTCAAAAGAGCCATGGGTCCCCACTAACAGAATGCGAAAACTTGTCCGTGACCGAGAAGTGCGAAGAGCAAGTAGGGGGACAAAAGACCATGGTAGAGGACATTGGAGTCTACAGCACTGCATGCGCATCACATGACTGAACGAACGCATTGAATCAAGCACTTCTACAGAAAACTGTTTTGTTGCTGCACGCTTCAACTTTAAGCAGCTTTTGCTTGGGGAGCTTTGCAAAAGCTGGACCCTTCCGTGTTTCACACGCGGCAGACATGCACTAAAACGCTCAAATATGAAACCCAGCTGTCACAAACATGATCCTTGAAGCACCTCAAGGTGGGGACACGCTTGCAGCCCATGGAGAACTACCACAAGGATCCGCGTGTTATCTCCCCGGTCACACGGGTGAGACGTTAACTGGCGGTCTTGTTCTCCTGGCGTCAGACAGATGCTGAGATGCAAGCAAACAACCTTTCCACTTGCTGCCTGACAGTACGAGGTCGATTGCAATCGTACAGTCCAAAATCAGCAGTACCTCCCGCAAAACCTCCCCCAAACCACCCCCCAAACCTCGGAAGAGGCCGACGATGGCGGAGCTGCGCCGCGCTGCATAAGATCCTTGACGCTCGTTCTGCACATGCTACAGTAATGTGAACTTGAAGGAGCTTCGGTCCGGGCGCTCCTTCTAAGGCAACCACGGTCTCACGTTCCACATCGGGGGATCCAAGAGTACATGAGTGCATCGCCGTGCATAGCCCACATCTGCGGAGGCTGTGCCACGCACGGCTACGAGCACTGAGTTTGCTGAAGAGAAACGAATGAGTTTGTAGACTGTGCCTGAACGTGAAATGAAATGTGCGTGAAGTGGGTTGTGACTGTGTTGGTACTGACTAGCCACGGCTAGCTAAGGATGGAAATGGCCACTTGAGCACCCGGCTTTCGACATTTCGAATGCAGGGGTCTGTACCACGGGCGTGCACCCAACAGTGTTACAATTGCGCCACACGTCGGCTCATTTTGCGTGCTGTGACCGCGACCCCAATCTGCAGCCATTGTGAAGAGATGGTGAAACCAAATCGCAAATTCGTGGTGTTCTGCCTCCCGGAACCTTTCTCGGAAACGTGGATGTTCAAGCAACGAGTCGGATGCGACACACCACGCCAGCACTAATGTCATTGACTTGGCCCCCAACACTTTCACAACCGGTCCCCAAGGCAAACCGTTGCTCGCTCAGTCTCGCGCGCGCGCGCGCGCATAGCGCTGCCTCAGCCAGCGCAGCTCTTGATCGCCAGTACTCCTGGCAAAAGCAGCGAAAGCTGGCAAAGCTCCTAAACCCATAGGACCCCTCCACTACTTTGGCCTCGCCACTGGCCTCACCATCACCAGAGCCTCCGATGAGACTCAAACCGCTAAGGTTCCTGACATGTATGTGGAGAGAAGAACCCGCGCCTGCATGCCTCATAGCGGGCACTCCTTTACGAGCCCGCGCTGCAACAAGCAGAACACGCTGCATATCCTCCGCAGAATGTGAAAAACACATTCTGGGGCATGACCGCCGGACAAAGCACAGCCCACTTCATACCTTCATGCTTACTGCATGGGAGTTTGCGGACACATGCTTTCGCTGCAAGCAGGGTCTGGATGTAGCTCTGATGCGGGCTAAGGACCCAGAAGCTGCCAGAGTGGTGCAGAGGGTTACCAATTCCTGCAACTATTTTGTGTGCACGCTGCACGTACCTCAGGCTACCAATGCCAGGTGAAAAACCGAGGTATGCGATATCAAGATACCATTGCCAACCAACCACAGCCAAACAAACCAACAGCCAAACAAACCAACAGCCAACCAGCCAACCAGCAAGTCTTTTTATCCCTGCAATTCACTTCAATCTATTCATATTAATATGGATTCCTGGTGATGGAAGTGAAAGGATGAACAGAATCTATTTGCATCTATAACACAAAGCGTCCTAAAATGATGGGTTCGAAGCCGATTTGATATGAGCCTGACATGCTTCTTGGGTTCCTCGATCTTGGTGTTTCTTCTCCGCATAAGTTCATGCGGCCGCCCCTGACTCCGTGGTTCCACTCCTGATAATTAGAAGAAAACGGATAAGGGGAGACTAATGCGAAATCGACGGCGAGCTACGAGTAATTGCCGACGCCACTGATTCTGATGGAGAAAGACTTTACGTTTCCGAGCGTAGTGGATTCGGATTCCACCCGCGGAATCCAGCCATGATATCTACAGATCTCGGGCCGTTTTCAAAATGCTCCGCCTGACTATCGGCACGTCTGTCTTGCATTTCAATCAACTTTGTGATCGAAACACGGGCTTCTATCGCGCTATCGCGCGCTGCCTCTGCAGCGCCCGGGCTCATTTGTAGAAGCCTTCCTCGACCAACTGTTGGCACGTCTTGATCCCCTTCTCGCGGCGGATTTCGCGCCTCATTTTTGCTGCTGCATGGATGCAACCTGCTCATCTAGGGACATCCAAGACCTGACGCAAGTTCAGAGAACACAGACACAACCGCCGCAACTGTACAAGTGCATGAAGACTGGGGTCCCAGCAGGAGGGCTCCACACAAACCAACGACGCCATTGCCAATCATCTTGTCCCGCGGCGTGCAAGATATCTGCCACTCATTGCAGTCAAGTCGACAATAACCCTAAACCCTAAACCCCCTAAACCCTAAATGCGGACTAATGCTCTGGGGGTAATGTAACTGTATTGCAGTATGCCTCTCGACCATTGAAGCCAAATTCGGCCATCTCCGCAGCGTTTCCCCAGCGATCATCGAACAAGTACACCTGCCAAAGAAGACGCAAAACGTATGCATCACAGAAAAGAATATTTCCTTATGGCTTTATAAGGAGTATATAGGGGAGTAAGGGTAATCAAAGTTACACAAATTATGTTCAAACATGTTCAAACCTACCCCCGCACAGCGCTCAGCTTCTGAAGACAGGGACAACGAGCTTGCCTCATCTGGAGCGATGCCGGCCTGCTTCTCACCGTTCAGCCTGCTAGCAGCGGTGCGTCGGCCACAGCGATCCCACATGTTGAAGCAGTGTTCCGAGGTGTACTAGCTGTGCTGCACGCCAATCGAAGAGCTGCTTCGCTGCGCAGCCCTTGGCGCCGGATGGCTTAAGGGGCATCGACTTGACTTGCACGCAACCCACCTTCTTCGGATCCGGAGTGAAAACGATCTTCTGCGAGTTCATGGAGCCTTTGCCCCAGTTGCCTCGGTTGAAAACTCTTCCGTTGTGCCTACTTTCTCATGGACTTGTTGAGTGTAGGCCGACATCCGAGGTAGGAGCTCCATGAACCATCGCCAGCTTTCCCACCGGAGGCGGCATTCAGCTTGTCCTCTCTTGTAACGGCACCGAGCGCAAGGCTTTGGGAATCAGCAAGACTCGCTGAGCGGCCCACATACAGGATGCCTTGCTCGTCAGGCCCACTGCCCTGATACCAATGCAAGATCGGCCGAGCTGAAACTAGATAAATTAAATCCTAAACCCTAAACCCTAAACCTACAACCGCACGCCGATATGCTTCTAAGCCCCACACTCCTCCGGCGGAGATGACTCCTTGGAGACAGGTCTCATGCCCTCTTCTCTTCAGAGAACATGGCCGGTTGCTGTTGCTCTTGGCCACTTCATGCTTAGGGGAGCTGCCCATGTAGCAGCGGTCTATGCTGCAAAAAGTCTGGTCCAGATGTTGAGCCACCTCCTGGGACCGACTGCTGCAACCCTCACAACATCGTTGCACGTCCTTTCGAGGCAAGGTGGGCCCTGGCTGAGAGACGAAGGGGCCCTCCACCATACGCGTAGTCCATCACCACACCGCCGTCTCAGTCGCACAATGTTGATACCACGGCATGACATGCCTTGCATGATGTGGGCTCGCTGCTCGGAGTATTGAAGACCTTGCAGCTGCAGCATGCTACAGTTCGCACGCAGGTATATTGCTGAACCGGCCACACACGCACACACTCTTTGTCTCGCTGCTTTTTTGCTCTCTCCCCCTCTCTCTCTCTGCTTCTCCCTTTCTCTCCTCTTGCTTGCGTGCTAGGCGTATGACCCCTGTGAGGGGGCCGCCCCGCCCTCCTTTCTCCCTCTCTCTCTCTCTCTCTCTCTCTCTCTCTTGCTCTCTTGTGCTCTCTCTGCCTGCGATGCAGTGGGGCAGCGGTCAGCGGCATCTTGCCTGTGGATTCTGCTCATGTTCAACCCAGCGTTCAAGCACATGTGCCACCTGCATGCTGTGAAGGATGCTTTTGTCGCACCTTTTTGCTCTCTGGCAGCATATTTGCAGAGAATGCCTCAACAAACTACCTCTGGGGGTTCACACTCTTGCACAACTGGTCCACCGGGAACGCACTTTTCCAGAGAGATCCTGCAAGAATACTCAGCGTTCATAGATGCCTTTCACTATCAAAAAGCACCTTTCAGTTTGCTATCATGATTGTCGATTCTTGAGCACATCTCCCTCCTGTTGTCGACGTAGCTGTAGACTTCCAAACAAGTTCGTGCTCCTTGGTTTCAGTGTAAACCCTAAACCCTAAACCCTAAACCCTGAGCCCTAAACCCTAAACCCTAAACCCTAAACCCTAAACCCTAAACCCAAAGTCATAGAGCCGTGGAGTCGATTGCTACAGCATTGCGGGCTGAGAGCACCGCGGACAGGCCCTACGGTAAGAAGCCCGAAAGACATCCAAAGACCTTGGGTTTAGGGTTTAGGGTTTAGGGTTTAGGGTTTAGGGTCTTTCGTCTCCATTGACCGCTATATGTTCTAAACGATAGCGTATGGGAGATTGTATATGTGTGTATTGTTACGCACCGCATGCAATCTTACATCTCTATTCACATATTATGAACGATATGTGGTATATGAAATATATATATATGTGTATACATATACATGTAGTGTATACTTTTAACAAAAGGTCATCCTATCGACTATATACTACATGATAACAAAAAACCATTCTACAAAGGCATAATCATAATACTAATAACAACAACAAAAAATAAGAATCATAATCATAATACTAATCACAACAATAAAATAAGAATCAGAATAATAATAATAATACTAATGACAAAAAATACTGAAAAAGAGTTTACGCTCACAGAGTTTGGAGAGGCGAGCGGCGCTCGGTGTCCAGGCCGAAGGTCGCCAGCATCGCCTCCCAGTCCTTGGAGCGCCCCGCGAAGTGGTAAAGAAGTGCCGGGTCCTGAGCTCAGGGGGGGGGGGTTTAGGGTTTAGGGTTTAGGGTTTAGGGTTTAGGGTTTAGGGTTTAGGGTTTAGGGTTTAGGGTTTCGGGTTTCGGGTTTCGGGTTTAGGGGTTCAGGGCTCCGGGTCGTGAGCTCAGGCGCTTCAGGGCTTCGGGTTCAGGTTTTTAAGGGTTTGGGGTTTAGGGTTCAGGGGTTTAAGATTTTTCGGGCTTAGGGCTTCGGGTTGAGGGTATTAGATAGGGTGCTCCTTTGAGGCCCCTTTGTTTTTCTGGGTGGGGGTGGGGAAAGGGGGGTGCTACACCTGCGAGCAGCCTGATTGTGGCTTAGGCTGAGGCGAAGAAACAGCAACCGGGATCATACCAGCGTAAGCACCCCAAACCCTAAACCCTAAACCCTAAACCCTAGACCCCTAGGCCGATCGCAGCCGAAGCAGCGGACAAGCCTCTGGCACCAACCACGTGGTTGATGTCAGCGACGCGCGGATCGACGAATCTGCCGCGCAATATTTACTTTGCAATATTTACTTTATATAATAAATACTATATATATATATATATATTTATTTTTTTATCTATATTTATATCCATACATATTTCCATACACATATCACATATATATATATATGTGAATCTGTATACATATTATAAAGCTTGTTACGGCGTGTCCCAGATTAATGTACAGTTGGCCAGCATCATCGTACTTGCAACGATCCACTTTCAGGAAACAAAGCTCATCTTGGTCATCACTGTCATCATGGATCGGTATAGTTGCAGCAAATTGGCGTACTAATTCATGCAACACCCTCGCTCCTGCCCTTGAGACCACAACTGCTGCAACCTGTTGCCATTCCTGAACCGTCGAACAGCGCCTGATGACACTGGAGTTGCGCTCGCCAAAAGGACCAGCCAGTTCTTCACTGACCCTCCACCAACACAACGCGTAGAGGGAGACCTCGTGGTTCCTCCGTTCCGCGAGGGCTTTGGGAATGGTAAGGGCATCAACTTGCTGGCAAGTCGCCCTTGATGGTTGGGGAAGAGGTATTGCGCGCACTCGGAATCATAGGCAACCTTACACGGCTTGAAGGCCGCAAAGATCGGCCAACAAGCATGCGCCATACCGCGTTAAGGGGATTCTATTCTGTTTGGGGTATAAACGGGGTACCCCGATTTTGGGAAATACCCATACGGCCAGAAGTTAAGACTACCAGTAGAAGCCCCAAGAAACCACTTCTCCTGTGAACAGCAGCACATGCAGCACCTAAGCCCAGGCGAGGCTCGCCACGCTGCAGTTGGGCCTTGGCTGCCATAACCGTCCCTTAGCCCAACTGGCCCAACTTCCCTGAACCCTAAACCCTAAACCCTAAACCCTAAACCCTAAACCCCGGGTCCGGCCTCCATCCCCAGCACTTCCAGAACTGTCTCATCAAACGGACCCTGGTCGCGCTCGATGGTCTGAAACCACCGCGCCTGGGGCACCCCCCCATGGTCAAACCCCAGTGCTTTCCCTAAACCCTAACCCTAAACCCTAAACCCTAAACCCTGAACTACTAAACCCTAATCCTAAACCCTACACCCTAAACCCTTCTCTGTCATTCTGGGGCAGAGGCCTTCTCGAGAAGCAGCTCAAGGAAGAAGCGGCCGCGCACAGAGTTCCGCAGAAGCGCCACTCCGTTGTTCAGGGTCTGCGGACCTGCTTCACGGTTTAGGGTTTAGGATGAGGGTTTAGGGCTTCACCGTGGCTTTCGCATCACGCAAGAGCAAGTGCGTTCGGGAGCCCTTCTGTAGGGGCCGCGCGCCCAAAGTCGCGCAAACCAACATCAGGAAGCGGCCGACGTGCGTCTGAGCATTCGGGAAGGAATTGGAAAAAGAACTTACGCCTACAAAAGCTTCTAGGAAGCAGCTGAAGCAGCAATGACACAACGGACAACGGCACAGGTGCCCCAGATGTGCCAAGCTTCACTCTGGCCAGGTGCCCGCCAGCTCGATGATCTTGGTCACGACAACGGGGGGGGGGGGTATGGGGTGACTGTCGAAGTTGAAAGGTTGAGGATTCTGCCTTCCCAACCGGCATTCTGCCCGTGAATCCAGAGATGACTACGAGTTTGCCGCTGTTTTGAGCTGCATGCTGCATCCGAGGCTCCTGCTGACAAGTCCCAGCAAGGCGCCACGATGATCTGGTCAGGGTCCACGAGCCTCTCAAGAAGGCGCAGCCCCCATCGCTCATGTGACCCCCCAATACCTCACGCAAGCTGACGCGGTTTAGGGTTTAGGGTTTAGGGTTTAGGGTTATGACTTTCCTTGTCTTCAGCTGAGCGACAGAAGTGCTGCGTAGAGCGGCAAATACCGCCTGGCGGCGTACCAGCGCAGCCAGTTCGGGGCCGGCGCTTCGCCTGGTGCAAGCTCGATACAAGGCTCGGTCAGCTACAAATACGGGATGCAGTGACTACACTTAACTTCGTGAAGCCATTCTTGATCTCGAAGGTGTGGGGCCGTACCAGAACGTGCAGTATGGCTGGCTCTTCTGGCGAGTTGGTGGGGGAGCCATGACAAGTGTGAGTCATTCGAGGTTTCGAACGGTCATGGCGGGATCCAGCCACACGGCGTTCCTCAACCGGAAAGCGCGACTCCACAGACAAAGGCAAACGGTCCAACTCCACAGGGTCCACGAGTCGGAAGGAGCTGGCTCCAGTGCGAAACATCCACGAGTACAAGCTGCGACAAGGGCATGAAGAATCATGAAAGGCAGGCAAACCGCTCCAGCAAGAGCCCTTCTTCTGAGGCCCACCGAAGCAGTGAAGATTTCGACCTCACCCGAAGCTTCTCTGCGTCGGACGGGCTCCGGGGGCTAAGATGGGGGAAGGGCTCTCACTCCCAAGAAGGAAGTTCGGCACTCCAATCACCACTCACACGCAAGATGCCGTGCGGTGGCGCCATTTGGGAATCTCAGAAGTTCCTGTTTCAAGGCTCACGGGCTACACGAAGTCTAACAGGTGCTTCGGTGTCCCACGCTTGTGCAGTGTGCACCCATGGTTCCAAAAGAGCAATGGTGCCTTCGTCTGTCTCGAGAAGAAAAGCATGCCCATGGCGAAGCGCATAGCATCTCCAGAGGTTGATAAAGGGCTGGTACTTCTTCAGCATTGCCGGTGTCGCTGCGATGAGCACAGCTGCCTCGCGTCCAAGGATGGGCAAACAGCACCCTAAACCCTAAACCCTGTGCAAACCCGCGACGCAAGAGAGTGGAAATTCTGGGAAGCTGCTTTGACCAGCGTACATCTATGTGGGGCTCTGCAAGTCAAAGCACGTCGCCTGCTCTTCACGGGGCAAGCTGCCGTGGCCACGACGCGATGTCAGTTCCGGCAGAGGAAGTGACTGAGGTAGGCTTCGACCCTGCAGCGATGTCACGCCTGACTCTATCCACGAAACTCATGTGCCCGACCTGCAGCTCACGCTCGCGCGCAGCTGCGCACTGACCCCGTCTCACATTCACCTGGCAACGGCAGCAAAAGCAAAAGATCTTCACCCCAAGGCACCGAACCTCCGCTACATGCAGGTTTGCATCATGTTGCTGCGCTGCCATATTCCTGCAACATCCCGCAACAGACCGTGGGCTCCGACCAGCGGGGCGAGGTTGTCCCGCAAGTCCAGTGTCCAGTGCGGCTCAAAATCCTGAGGCCGACACGCGATCTACCCTTAAAGGAAGCGAAAAAAAGTGCCCTCCCACATCCTTGAAGTACGCATTCGCACGGAAGTAGAACATCAACGAGGAAGAGCAGAGGCGCACCTGGGCGTGGACACGAGAGACGATGTCCACGGGCATCGAAAAAGTTAACAAGACTTCGGCCGTCACAGCATGTCGCAGCTGAGCCCGCAGCATCGACATGCTGCACTGGGAATGCCAAGGCCTGGATTGGAGATCGGCGTGCAAACTTGCAACCTTGAGACCTAAGCTTTCAACCCTACCCTAAACCCTAAACCCTAAACCCTAAACCCTAAACCCTAAACCCTAAACCCTAAACCCTAAACCCTAAACCCTAAACCCTAAACCCTAAACCCTAAACCCTAAACCCTAAACCCTAAACCTAGACCCACGTTTATCCCAGCCATGGCTTACGGACCTGATGAGCATCCATCTACTGGTGCCATCACCAAGCCCCACCTCCAGCAAGAGGACCACGACGCAGCCCTCTGGACACAAGCTGCAGCGGCTCTCCCTCAGAGCCGCATCCTGCAGCTGACCCGATGTCTCCTGGGCCACCCGAAACCATGCTTGGCAGGGAGTCTGTACACCCCACTTTCGCGCAAGAGGACCCAAGAATCCAGAGATCCGGGTCTCTATTCTGAGGGTTTCAAGACGGTTTATAGTGAAACCCATCTCAATCTGTAGGAGTAACCATGGCATGCCATGGATAATTCAGGAAAGTCGGTGCATGTGATGGATGACAGGCAAGCGGCCAGGCAACCCTGCAACTCCGGCACGCCCAGAGGAAGTTCTCCACCTGTTCCCACGGCCTTGCAGAAATGTTGCCGAGTTCAGTTCTTGTTATGGACCTGCCTCAAAGCCTACAGTCTGGACTCAACCAAAGGCAACGGTGTCTGTGTCAGACCTCTTAGCAGAGTAGACTGTGTAGGAGTACTCGACACGCTGTGCACCTATCATTCGATCGCCTAGCTTGAAGTAAAATTGTAAAAGTGTTTTTTAATACGTATGTAAACAGACCTATGAACCGATTATATCTAACTGAAAAACTACACAACTCTGTACAACTACACATTTATACAACTAGCTAACTACATAACGGTATGAAGAGGTAACTACATAGTTGCATCACATGACTACGCAGCTTCTGTATAACGATGCAAGATATGCCTCCGCAGCGGAGTGTGCAGCAGGAGCACACCGCGCCAAGAAGGCATGGCCCGTCTCCTAGGAGACGAAGAGCAAGACGACAAGACGACAGGGTCTAGGATCTGAGGTTGGGGTTTAGGCTTTAGGGTCTACACTGCTGAGGCTGAGTGTTCCGGCTTCTTTCCGGCACTGTCCATTGTAGAATACCCTAAACAAGCCATCTACACCACCCCTCCTTTTCAGACTACATTTACAGACCATGGAATGACCCCGCAAGCATGTCCGTTCTAGTTGCACGCCTGCCGGAGTTGCGTCGGTTTGGGCAGCTCGCCGCCGACTAAGTCTTGCCCGCGCACAACCTCCCCTTCTCTTTCAAGACTCGTGCTCTGCCGTGAGAAGGGGTTTAGGGTTTAGGGTTTAGGGTTGAGAGGTTCCAAAAGGGTTTCGGGGTTTAAGGGCATTAGAGTTTCGGGGCTTCCCAAGTAGAGGTCCCGGGCCTCTTTTACACAAGCCTCCCGCCTCTCAGGACCAGGCGGTTGAAAAGGGTGGACGGGCAGATATGCTGGATTAAATGATTCTCTCGCCTTGCAACCAGATGCATCCAAATGTCGCCTGTTTGCTCATCAAAAGCCAGATGACCTGATGTCAAGAAAGCTGCTGAATGGCATTTGCAGAACTTTTGCCACTCTGGGTCAGGGACAGCCAAATGATGAGCAAAAAGCAAGGGCGCACAACGTCCACCATAAGAAGGGTGTCCTTGCACTCCGCCCAACACACGCAACGCAACTGGAAGCAATGTTCATGCTCCGCCATTGTGAACTACGAGGAGCATGAGAATCCTCTTCTTGTCCATGTATCACCTTGCAGAGCAATTTGCTGGCTGGTCGGCAGCACGTCGCCCAGCCATTTCACCGCACGCCAAAAGAAGGAGGTGCATTACAAACAGAGCTACACAGAGCTGCTGAGCTCTGCGTCGCATGTTGAACAGAAACGGCAAGTCGGTGTTCCACACACACAGTGATGGCGCGTGATGTCACAAGTCAACTTTTGCCTGCTGGTCCGAACATGCAACAAGACCATCCCACTATCTGCAGCCTGCCTCACCGTGAGCGTTCTGTCGATGTCAAACAAGCATAGACAGGGCTTGTTCGGAGCAGCAAAGTCCTCAGGCAAGATCTGGCGACAACAAGCGGGCTGTTTGCCTTCTGATGCTATGACTATGAGCCCGTTTGTCAAAAGCCTTGCATGGTCTCAACACTGATTCGGTCCGCTGAGGGACTACAAGATTGCAGCTCGACTTCAAAGCTGCATTCAGAACTACTTTCACGATATCCCCAAACCGCCCTGGAACCCCAGCGGCCACAACGAACAGAACCTTCGACTCACAGCCCCCCCACAAAAAGCGGCCTCGCTGAAATCCAGAGCCGCTGATTTGAGATCTGGTTTCCGCACCCTGGGCAAGAGCACTGACTCAAGACATGACGCTGCGCGCAGATGTGCGAAGGGAATGCTGATTTCGGAAGCAGCTGAGGCGTGGGACAGTGCGATCAGCCCAATGGCCAGAGCAGCTGCAAGAGCTGCTGCACCACAGGCTACACAGGCCTCTCAGGAGAACCCCGAGAGGCACTTCTTCCTGCTGTTGGTTAGTAGGGAATGGGGGAATGAGGTACCCTATACCCCCTATGTATACCCTTTAAGGGATGATATGGGGTACCTCATTCCCCCATTCGCTACTAATCAACAGTAAGTCTTTACATCACAGAAGGTGCCACCTTGGCATACGTCCTCCTCGAGGGCAAGGGTGGAGCTGCTGCCTCTGCGAAAGAAGGGGATGCAGAAAGGGGCTTGCAGAGCAGTAGGGCAAAAGAGCCATGGAGACATATCGATGATCGTCAATGTGACAACTGCCAAAGGCATCGCTGGCCTCCGGATCCGCAACCTGTCAAACAGCTAGAGACTCTCACACGGAAGGTTCTCGGTGGCGGGCCCTCTGCCCGTGCAATGCAACGTTGGGAGTTGAGCATGCGAGTTGCACCTGCACCTTTCAGACTTCTAAGTCTTTACACTGCAGCTAAGGCAAGAGTCTCGGCATACTTACTGGAAGGTACCAAAAAAACTCTGCTCCTGTGCAACGATCTCGCTTCTATGTCCCACGTCGACTCTGCTCGCTTTGTGTGGGCAAACGGTGTTCTCCCTTTCCTTGGACCTTCTTTGGGATGGATGTCTGTTGTACAACCACTTTCGCAGATGTGAGGGTTTGGAGCAGAGCTCTCGAGACGTGGGTGGTCCAGTTGGGGTGCTCCGATCGGGGTGGCGCTGAATGGTCGCCCTGCTTCCCCCAAAGAGTTACCTACAGGTGCGTGTAAACGCTCTCCAAGCTCATTTGGGAACCAAAGGTGTTTATCTCTCATCCTCTCTCTTCCAAAATCAAAGGTCCAGCACCTCCAGCCGGAGCAACTCGTCCGACTCCCCGTTCATGAGGGAACAAGATCTGGCACAGCGTGGGCCCGCGAGTCCGTACGGTCCGCATGCACATATGCACCCCCTCAAACAAAGAATTGCTGGCAGAGGCGCCTTAAAGCACCCGGGCTAACAAGCCAATGGGCAGCCCAAAAGGCTTCGGTGCAGCACGCACTTCAACATCGGCACACGGTCAGCTGCTCGGAATAGTCTAGCAGCTTAGCAAGACTCCCCCGCCCCCTTCCTCCACATCCAGCCACGAAGGAAACCATCAACACTGAACTCCAATGCTTCCTATGTCCTATATGTCGGGTGAGCTGCCAACTGAGAATACGAAAGCTTACGTGATTGGAAAAGTATTGTGCGGAAAAAACACCAACCCCCGTTGAAACAATCTCCAGCATTACAAGCTAGTGCAATAAATGTGAGCTGAAGTTTTCGATTTCCAGGTTCAGGATTGGAAGGGTGGTTAAGGACAGGGCAAAGTAAGGGGTCACAGCTGCCTTGTATATACACACATCAACTTCCGCCTGCAATGTAAAACGTCCGTTCGCAACCTTCACCTGCACATTCATCCACAAACCACACCATTAAGCAAGAAGCGCTCCCGCCTCAGTTGGCTAAAGGGGGTGAACCGCTCAGTATGAACCCCCCCCCTCCTTCCATGACAGAAGCAAATGGCAAAGGCTCGCATCTTTCCAGGCCTTCTCCGCTCCTACTGAAGCAAGGCTACACTCAAGCCGCGCGCCGCTAGCTTGCGTGACTTGTGACAATTCGGTCCGCGAGGCCCCCTATCAGCTCCCAGGCCCCTGCAGGCTCAGAGAAGCCAGAAGGGCAGATACGTGCCTCGGCTGTTGGAGGGTGGAGAGGGGCAGAAGATAGGCCACATGGTCATTTGTAGGCACACTTTGCATGGCTGTCGCCAGGAAACAGCAGCACTGTTGATTGTTGACACCTCTCTTGACCTCCTCCAAAGACTGCTCAGAGACTCGCTCGGTGTAACTTGGGATGTTCCCCCTTCTAGTAACAGTCCTTCATCGAGATTATAGTACCCCCCTACTACTATCCATAAATGTATCCCCTACTATAACCCCTAAACTAAGAGCTGCTAGTATAAGGGGGAACATCCCAAGTGGTAAACCTCAGCAGGGCCGCCCTCGGCTCTGGCAACGCACTGCAGCGGCAGCTTCAGCTCCGGGTTCGTGGCAAAGGCCTCCCCGAGCGACGTCTTCGACGCAACATGGGAACTTCATGGTGACCGCTGGTTTCTGATCTGACACCCTAAACCCAGCCTAAACCCTAAACCCTAAACCCTAAACCCTAAAACCTAAAGCCCTAAAACCCTAAACCCTGAACCCTAAACCCCAAACCCTAAACCCCAAGCCCTGAACCCCAAACCCTAAACCCTAAACTTCGTGGGTTCGTGGGTCAAGCGCTCTGAGAGTCTCCCCATCGGGCCTCTCGGAAGAGTGTCGAGGCCTCCTCGACCCCAAGGTTGCATCATGCAAAGCAGCGACGGTTTGGGATGTTCAGGGTTTAGGATTTGGGGTTTAGGGTGTAGGGTTTCCCCCTTCTGCTAACAGTCTTTGATAAGACATATAATATGGGGGGGGTACAATAATCCCTACTAAGGACTGTTAGTATAAGGGGGAACATCCGTTAGGAGCTAGCGCCCGGACACAGGGCTCTTCCTGTGCAGACGTGAACGTGACGCAAGTCTTGCGTCAATGCTGCTCTCCTGTAGCTCCGCGGGAAGCTCGGCCGTCTGCTTCAGACGATAGGCTCGTCGCAGCTTCTGCGCGGCCTCAAAGAAAGAGCAGGGCAGACAGCATCAGGCTGCACTCTAAACACACCCTTGCTCTCCCTTCTCCCTTCTGCCTAAACCCTAAACCCTAAACCCTAAACCCTAAGCCCCAAGCCCTAAGCCCCAAGCCCTAAGCCCTAAGCCCTAAACCCTAAACCCTAAACCCTAAACCCTAAACCCCAACCCTCTCGCCTCCAGAGCCTCGGCCGAGAGCCCCTCTCCGGCAGCGATCGCCTCGTTCAGCCTCTCGAGGCCCTCCCCAGCCAGGGCCATGCCCAGCCTCAAGGCAGCGAGGGGTTTAGGGTTTAGGGTTTAGGGTTTAGGGTTTAGGGTTTAGGGTTTTGGGTTTAGGGTTTGGGGTTTTGGGTTTTGGGTTGGGGGTTTGGGGTTTAGGGTCTAGGGTTTAGTTTAGGGTTTAGGGCCGAGAATCTGGGAAGCAAGGGTTCCTGTGACAATTACTGTGATACATAACCACTCGCGTACTTACCATTATACTTATTCTACGGACTGCCGTCTCCGATATAGAATTTAGGCTTTGGGGTTCAGGGTTCCAGGTTCTAGAATGAGCGTCATCTTGTCATTATCTTGAGATGTACTTTGTGGGGCCTCATCCAGCAAGATGTTCTCACATCGAGCATGTCACGAACAGAGCGGGTTCGATGCAGCAAGAAGCAGGCGTGTTACTCGCAATTTTGAGGCAGATGTTCACAGCGCTTAACGGTCAGACCTTGGACTCGAGTCGGAGTCTTGCAAGGTCCGGTAGAACCTTCCTGTTTGGACACTTTTAGCCCCTCCTTCGATCCTCAACTTTCTCAAGTACAGCACATCCCCTGAAAAGGCTGATGTCATCTCGGGGAGGCATCCGATTTCGAAACGGATTCTCACATGTTGCTGCGACATGAGCCTTTTGTAAGCATGCAACGAGCATGCTCTTGCGTGGGGTGGGGGGGGTGTTCCGAAAATGGTGGTGCCCATGCCCGTTTTGGGGGTTCCTAGACAAAGAACGGGTTAGGGTTTAGGGTTTAGGGTTTAGGGTTTAGGGTTTAGGGTTCAGGGTTCAGGGTTCAGGGTTCAGGGTTTAGGGTTTAGGGTTTAGGGGTATTCATCCGATATCAGAGCCACAAAAGCCCTGAGGCGCCTCTGCTGCTCGGCCGGGGTGAAGCGCCGCGCAAAGCTGACCGGTACAAGGCCTGCCCATGGATTTCCAAGAGGGTATAGGGTTTAGGGTTTAGGGTTTAGGGTTGATGGTTTAGGGTTCAGGGTTGAGGGGTTTCGGGTTTAGGGGTGAAGGGTTTGGAGTTTAGGGTGCTTCCCCAAATCGAGGTACCCTTTTTCGGCGGTTCCTATCATAATAAGGATGAGCGTCTTCTGGTGGTATATAGGGGGGTTCTCCAAAAACGGGTACCCCTTGAATAATTCTCCCAAATAGACATCATAACAATCTCATTATAAGAACCCCTTGTTTCTGGAAAATCCCATGAGTCTCAACCCTATGGCAGCAAGTTGAAGTAAGCAACAAAAGCGCTGGCACCCTAAGCCCTAAACCCTAAGCCCTAAGCCCTGAATTGGTTGTTTTTGGCCCACCCCCGCCTGTTCGCAAGCCTGCATGCCATGCGCAAGCGCGATGCTCCAGCTCAGTCGGGGACAGGCGCTTGCAGGTTACATACTGCACCTTGGGCCAAGGTCATCGTGGTGGAACATTCTGTGCCCCCTAAACCCTAAACCCTAAACCCTAAAACCCTAAACCCTGAACCCTAAACCCTACACCCTACGCCCTACCTTCTGTACTGTTGGGATGGGTGCGGTCTTGGCACAATCCGCCAGGAGTTGTCCTCATTGGGGAAGTTCTCGTGCGGGAGCCGCGAGTCCCACACAAGCAAGCCGCCACTGGGAACCAGGACCTTGCGCCTTCTCGCCTTAGTGATGAGTAATAAGTAGTATATGTATATCTTAGTAGATAAGTAGATAAGTAGATACGATAAGTAAATAAGTAGCATAAAAGGGCTGTGGTGCAACCATGAAAGGTGCTCTTCTGGCTGCCAGTGGCCTGCATCTCATCCTCCGCAGGAACGGGAAAGGGTATCATCGTCGACGACCGCTTCGCAATGCTGCCTTGGCCGGACATGGCATTAGGGTTTAGGGTTTAGGGCTTAGGGTTTAGGGTTTAGGGTTGAGGGTTTCCAAAATCCGCCGAGGCCTCGGGCCGAAGGTGTCTAGGTTGTCAGGCACCCTTCGAATCCTCCCAAAACCCAATCCGGCCCTTATTTTGCCTGGAATGGGTGCCCCCTCTAGGCGATTGGGATCTGAAAGCTGATGGTTTGCCGGCACTATCGCTATAGAATTGGAACCTGTCCCCCCGTCCCAACCACCCGCGACACCCCCCCTGCCAATGGCGTCGGGGCGCCTTTGTCGTGTGGCCCTACATACCATGCAATCACGTGTGACGCTTCGACTTAATGGCACCCTATGATGAAATGATGAAGTGTCGTGAAAGTCCATCTGCTGGTTGAAGTAGGAATCGGGAATCGGCCACCAGAAGCCAAGAGTCTAAGAGGGGCCCAATCATGGCCAGTCAATCAAGCGCGGGACATCAGGGAACCATGGCGGGGCATTAGCTGGGCGGACATTGGCAACCTGGACTGACATTTACCAGCGCATCGGAAAACACCAACCAGAAATGGACAAGCATGACAAACCGAACATATGAACCCGCCGTCGCCACTTCATTTCACGATTGGGATGACGACAAGAGAGTCAGAAAACCTGAATCCCGGCAGATCCGACTGGAAAACGTACAGATTCTTGGCCCCCCCCCCTGAAGAAAGATCAAAAGGGAAACCCGGCAATGGTCTCAGCTGGCTCTGCGCTGGTGTCAGCATGAATGGTTTCCGAAGGCTCACTCCGACAGGGAGACTTCCGCATGGGCAGAGTGCCAGGCAACACTTTTTCGTTTGACAGCCTGTCTGAGCACGTGTTGATATCTAATTGGCCTTTGACTTCCGAGGGTCCACCCGTTCCAGTTTTCTTTCAATCCCACAATGTTGTTCAAAATCGTCCGACTGAGAGGCGCAATGGATTGGCTGATTAGCATCGTTCGGCTTGGCTGCGTGTTGTTGGCAAGGCTTTTGCAGGGATATCATGCAGAACGTTCCCACACGCAAGCAGCACGCACTGCCCAAACCAACTGCGCGACTCATGCCTGCGAGCACTGCTTCTGCCCCAAAGATTGCCACCTGTGAGTCTCCCAGCTTTCTTGGGGCACATTCATGTGAGAAGGGAACGGCACGACATACCAAAAAGAAGGACTGACGAGCCAAGAGGGCAAGTTCATGAGAGCGACCTCCCAAGCAGGCTAAGGCGAGAAGCCCAAGATCGAGAAGGCAAAGGTCGTGGAAGAGCCAACTTGAAGCATGTCAAGTCACAGCACAAAAACATCAGGAGCAGACCACCTAACCCTAAACCCAAAACCCGAAAAAAAAAAACCTAAAACCCGATAAACCCTGAATTCAGAAGAGACTGCGAAGTAGCCCCTAAACCCGATAAACTGTGAAGTGAGCTTGAACAAAGCCACCGGCTGGATGCTGCTGGCTCCACTGCGCGAACTCTCGATGGAAGCCAGGCACTGTCACGAAGCCGCCAGAGCTTCCGGAGCTTCCTCACGGCTGGACATCTTCAAAAATCAATATGATAAGAGTATGATAATCGAATAATCTAACGATCGAATTACAGAATTAATGCTCATATACTTATATACGAATATACTAATAATATAAAACGTGCGAATGAAATGAACAAGCGAAAGAAAAGAGCGCAGTGAATGTAATGAACACCCCAAAAGACTTCTTGTATTTTACCACGGACATATTCTATTAACGCATGAGTATAATGTAAGCCCGTATTACAATTTTAGGGCGGGGTCTTTTTTTCATGCGCGCCGTATTCTATGGCGGCCCAAAAAAGGCACCGTAATCTAGGGAACACATTCCACTTTGGACTGCAGAAAGATCATGGTCCTGACAGGCACAGCAGGCCCTGCACTGCCGTGAAACCGGGAGATGACCTCAGGGTTCAGGGTTTAGGGTACGGGGGGAACCGAAGGGGGACGAGAAACCGAACAGTCAACCCCAACAGAAGCCCTTGATTTCCCTGGATCAACCACACAACAAACCCAAACCACAGGGCACTCACCTTTTACTACCAGGCACATGGCCCAGTCTTGAGCCATAAAAGATTTCCGGGTTTATTAACCCTTTCAACTTCCAACACTAACTCTTTTTACAATACCAGTTGCAGCTCCGCACTCCCCCTGTCCTAGGATTTCCTAGGACACATTGGAGATGCAGATCTTTGGCCAAAAACTGCCATTAGGGCAGTAGCCTGCTGCTTGACATGCACAATATGGTTTAACGTCTACCAGGACGAAATTATAGCACATTGGCTAAATCCACTAACCATAGAGAATCTTTTCACCATGATCCTCTCATCACCGAAGACTCCTTGGCCTTCTTCACCACAAACCGTGGTCTTCGCTACGCGAAAAGCTACTGACTTCTACTATCAGGGATTTCCATACCCTTAATAGTAACCACCACATTTGTCAGCACATTGGCTGTTCCAGCGCACCTGTCTCCAGACAGAGAAAAACCATCCCTTCATCCATACCATCCAATCACTTCTTTTTCCGATTGTTGGCAATCTTGAGGTGAAGTTGCAGCAGAATATACTCCAGGTCCGAAACTGCAAGAACAGGATCCTGTACGCCCCTTTGAATTGAGGATACCAGTCCTTCTCTTTTCGCGTCCTCAATCGCCTGGCAAGATTGACCCAGCTCTGCACTCACAGCTGCCATCGCTTGCGCATCCACATCAGGAGGACGATCCTTTTCTTCAGGACCTTTCACCACCACCACTTCTCCCTTTTTGGGACTTTGACTTTTCTCCTTCTTCTTCGCCTTTCCACCGACGACTGACTTTGTGCGCATTCTCGAGGCTTTTTCCCCTGCAGAAACCGCCGCATTGGATGATGATCCACTCTTCTCAATGGTCGCCGGCATCTTCTTCGGCTTTGGAACCAGGAGAGTGTAAGGATCTTCGATAACCACAGGTTTCCTCTTCTTTTTAACCTTTTTTGCCTCCTCCTCAACGATAACCTCCGTCTCAGAAGTCTCAACCACCTCCTTTTCGGCAGGAACATCTTTGCTGGACTCCCTTTCTAGGGCCCCTTTTGGGATCTTTTTCTTCTTCCAAGTTGGCTCGCTCGAACCATATCCTCAGGTCATTGACCCATTCTTCCACCTCCTCGAGCGAAACGTCATACGACTTCACTACTTCGTGAAGTTCCAGCACGGACAACATATCGTCAGTCCACGAAACCCATTCTCTATCCATCTGGTCAGCGTCTCCCTTGAACTTCAGGAGTTTGAACAGTGGGTCCGCCTCTGCTCGAGCCAAGTCTGGTTTGCCATTCGACAGAATTGAAATCGCTTCCATCAACAGTTCCGACATTTTGGTGTCATCGTCATAGGTCATGGAATACTCCTCACCATCATCGAACTGTTCAGGAGAGATCTCCTCTTCCCCACCTTTTGCACCAGAACTTCTCCTTGGACCATCCCTTGGGGGCGTCCTCGGAGACCTTGGCCTCTGTTCATTTAGCGGATCACCATGCTCAAAAACACACTTGTCACCATAACGACACTTCCCAGACTGAGCAAACTGAATGCACCTCACACCAGTTGCATCATGCGAGAACGCACACGTCTTTCCAGCGAAACAGAGTCTCCCCGCCACATAGTATTTGCACCAATACGAATGCAGCACCACATCATCTTCTGAATGGATGAATTTGCAGTCTTCACCAAATTTGCAGCGATCTTTTCCCTTACTGAACCAATAGCAGAAGCCTTTCTTCCTCTTCTCCAAGCGCTCCGCCTCGAACCGGTCCATAGGGCGATTCTGCTCTACATGAACATTGCCATGTGCTTGAGAACTGCTCCCTTCACCCCAGGTGCTATCAGTATTTGATGCTTGGAGTACAGCTGGAAAACCTGGCCTTGGTTCTACCACCTTCATGATTGGTTTTCCGCCAGCTCCTGAGCCACGCTGAGACGATCCAAAGACATTGAACTTCTTCATGAGGGCTTTCCTAGTGCCGATCTTCTGTACCCTTTTGATTGGACGCTTCATTGTTCCAACCTTGCATCCAGATACGTTCAAACGACACAACCTCCTATACCCAGCTCTATATCCCTTTTTCCAAAGAGCCATAAGAATTTTAGAGGCAGTAACATTCTCCACCTCTACCTTTTCCAACGATCCCTCACTTCCCGGAACAGACCCCTCCAGCCCATCCATATCTGAAGACCTTTCCATCTTTTTTGACACCACTTCGTCGAGGTAGTCTTCAGGGATCCAGGGTAAGTTCCTCTTAGAGGAAGGATTGTCACCATTGTTTGGTCCTTCACCAGGATACCCTTTTGTGCTGTCAAAGATCTTCCCAGTAGTGCGGTCCTGCGTAGAGAAGTTGGAAGCAACACGAGAGTACACTGACCACAAGAAAATCCTTGCGCCTGCCAGTCTTGACGACCCACTGGATGTCTCCTCTTCTGGAGAGACTTCTGGCGCTTTGCCATCCCTTCCAGTGTCACCAAGTGTCTCACCTCCGTCATCTTCAATGGGAATAAGGGATTCATTGTTCCCTTGATCTAGTACCGCATCTTGTTGATCGGGGATCTCCAGCACCATTCCTGTAGGATCCACTTCTTCATCAGCATCGTCGTCCATTCTTCTCCAGAGAACTTCCAATTGATCAGCGCAGGTCGCTGCCTGAAGGAACTCCATCATTTGGTCCTTCCCGCGCTGCCAGAGAAATTCGGAATTCACCACTGTCCCTTGGCCTCCAAGTCTAAGGAATGGAGCGACCAGATTGGCTACCCTTGCCATAAGTTCCACATGAACTTCCATGCCTGGACTGCGACTCCAATCATAGGCTATTGCCTCCATAGCAGTTCCAAACTTCCCAGTATCCCTGAATTCCTTTTCCAGGCCAGGAGAAAGCAGTGCACCCATCACCGAAAGAGGATAATTTCCCACCACCGGCAAGCACGGATTGTCATGGAACGAATGATGCAAATCACAATAATATCCTTGATCCCTCCTTTCAAAAAGGAGTCTCCCAGTATTCAACTGGGCATTCAGTTCATCCACTTGAACCATTTCAGCACATATTCTCTGTGCTGTGTACGCCATTGCTGGCCAGATGGAACGATCGGTCAGACCACGACGCATAACCCAATCAGTTGTTGGCGACTGAATCAGCGTCCTTGGATCATACACCAGAACTACCATCGCACCGTCACCCATTGACTGATCAGCATCGTCCTCCAGTGCCAGGTTCTCATCCTGTTCGCTTGCACCCTCGGATGACATGCTAATAACCAAATTTCGATCCATCTTATTGGACCCTTTTTGGCAGTCTCTTTGCCCCACCGGCAACTTGCCAACTGCAACCTTCCAATAAATCCGATTCAGAAGGCCTTTAACCAGCAATTGCTGAAGGTCACTCCTCACCGAACCACCGTCCAACTTCTTCGCATCATCACCACGGAGATCATTGCTCCCACCTTCTCCTTCTTTTTGGTCAGTCTCCTCGCCAGAATTTTGTACTGCTCCTTCCGGCGCCGTCTCCTGTCCAGCCACTTCATGCCCAGGAAGAACTTGAGCGCTTTCAGGGACATTCACCTGTCCAGCAACACCTTGCCCAGGTAAAACCTCATCCGTGGAGCCCACCGCCAGCGAACCAACCATAACTGAGCCATCCCTTGCTCTTTTTTGAGACTGTTCAGCTCGACGAGAAGGTTGTGGTAGCGAAAAAACTTGAGAAGTCACTTCTTGGCGGGTCTCCCCCCGCGACGCTTTGTCGCGTTCTTTGCCAAGGTGAACCGATTTTTTCTGCCCGTCACTGGGGCCGGAAGAACCACCCATCGGAACATTGCCACGAATCGCAGTTCTCTGTAAATCCCTTTCTTGCAAAAGGATTTCCCGCATGCGGTGCACAGCATTGGTCTCTTCCTCGCTTGAATCGTTTGAGGAAGCGGCATAAGAAACCAAAGCCTCCGCCTGATCATCATCGTCCACCACATCTGCCCACGCTCTGCTGAACCGATACGACAACCCACCACGAGGCTTCAGTTCCAGTGGTTTTGGTTTCTCCACCACTTCCGCCGGTTGCGCTCGTCGCTGTGAGCGAGAGCGTGGCACCTGTCGCACCTGTTTTTTGTCCAGCAAGGGCCTTCCCCTTTTCACAGGGTTTGATCTTGACCGATACTTTTTTGTTGGTGGATTCACCGGTGGCATTCCAACTCCCACCAACTTCAGCTTCTGTACGCACAGCGGAGACCTCTGCGCAAGCGTCCAAGCGTCACGGTACTTGACCTTATCAAAAAGCTCCCGATAGGAGCCTCTCGGCATCGTTTTTGCACCGGAGTCTTCAGCTTCACGCACCTGAGTGAGGGTTCGCACCGCCGCTCTTCCAGTCCCTTTGTTCCCAGAAGATTGTTGTACCCGTACAGATGCATCAGAAGGAACTGCCTTTTCCGGTCCTCCCGGTCGATATCGGACCTCACCCACCAATTGCAAAATTTTGCATGCGGTCACCTTGTTGATCCCTTTGTCAACCAAATCTTCCACAAAGATGAACTCTTGCAAGTCCGACACATTGGTCACACCAAGGGTAATCATCACCTCACTTACATGAGGGGTATACACCCACAGGTGTTGGTTGCGAGCCATCCAATTTTCAATTGGCTCCTCTGGATTGTGAAGCTGAGCGCTAGTAGATGCAGCCACCGAATTCTTTTGTTCATCAGCCTCTTCTTCATCCAGAATACCCTTTTCACCATCTTTTTGTGACACATTGGTCATCTGCAGCGCTTTTGGTGCTGAGGAGGACGAAGATTCTACTCCCCCACTTACCGGTGGTTGAAAAGCGTTCCTGTCGGGAATCTCCAATCCCTTTGCCCTTTGAAAGGACACATGGTTTGCCACATTCACCAAATGCTTCAACTGGGCCAGCCGGTCCTCAGACATCTCTTCGTGAGAATACTTGCAGCCAAATCGCACACGACATCTCCCTTTGAGATAGTAGTCGAAACAGCAATGGTGGAACCCCGCGTCCCTTAGTGCCTTCCTGGAAGCATTGTCCCAAGATTTGCCAGGCTCCCAAGTCCCTTCCAATGCCATGTCATCGTCGTGGAGATACCTGCACGCAGTCCCATATTTACAACCACTTTGATTGTAATACAGACACAGCCGTTTCTTCGTTTCACCCAGCGTAGGCTCACCTTTTGATGTCCCTTTGCCGTAGTTGTACTGGGCACGGAAGGCCGAATCCTCCCGCTCCTGCTGCGCCTCATCCACTGTACCTTCATCAGTTGGAGGGCCACCGATGTCCCCGTCCTCGTCACCAGTTTTTTGGCTGTTCTTTGGCTCAGTTGGCTCTCCTTCAGGCCACCCTTCACCGTAGCGACGATGTTCATAGGAACACCCATCTCCATTTCGACACCTCCCTTGATTGAAGAACCTGCACAGCTTACTGTATCCAGGTGACACAGTCTTCGGAGTCGTGTGAGCCTTTTTGTACTGATCGGGATCCATATAGGCTTCTATTGGCCTGTTTTCCCTCTTACTCATCTCCTCGACTGCACCATCAAGCTCTTGCAGAAATCGCTTGGTGTCCAACCACAGCTCGTTCCAAAGCTCATCTTTCCCTTTGCTCAGCAACATTGCCACCGCTTCACCCACAACTGGTCCACTAAATCTTCTTTTCTTGCGTGCCAGTTCGTAGAGCGCGTCGTGGTACTGCTTCCGGGAAAAAGCGGTTGTTTCTTCCACACCGACACGTTCTTTCTCCTCAGGCTTCCAATCATCACTTAGCAAGATGTTGTATGCGCTCCGAGCCTCATTATTCAGGAATGCATGATCTGCAATACACTCCACAATCACGTCCATTGAACGACTCAGCAACATCCCAGTGATTTTGCCCACATAGTCATTATCAATCGTTTCATCTTCCAGGAGATTTCGACAGATCTTCTCTCCATAGAGCTGTTTCTGCTCTGCCTCCTCTTGTTCCTTAGAGGATGCTTTTGACTCGGCAAACCACTCACGAGACTGCTGTTCCTCCGACTTCCAGTCCCATTGACCATCGGAACCTTTGTACCATTGACCAGTCTGCCACGAGCCTGTCCACCATGTACCCCAGCCGCTGTCCTTCCATTTGCGCAGCTTTGAAGAGGAATCCTCCTCGTCCTCTTCCAAAACCAGAAAGGTGTCCAAGATTATGGTACCATCATCTTCCACTCGTTTCACTGTTCCATTGACAGTATCACCAAATTGGAACTGATGTACATTGTTCCCTTCCGCAGGAACCAATACATTTATATCACCATAGTCCAAAAAGGCTCCATACCCATTGATGCAGCGCACTAGACCAATGACCTTGTCTCCCTCTTGATAGCAATGTGTCCCAGGTGATTCCAAGGCTCCCGCTCGGGGCGCTTTCTTTGCATGCTCTTCAGAAACCATCTCTGTATCATCGGCTCCTGGCGCATCCTTTGTCTTCACCTTTGGGTCACACTGCTCGTCCTGTTCCACGAGTCCCACAAGCTCATCTTTTTTGTGCTCTTGGATTTCAGGACCTCCCTTTTTCTCTGCCAAAGGCTTTGCCTCATCTGCTTCAGTTCGCTCGGTGTCGACTTCCGGTGAACTTCCAGACGGCAACGCTTCTCCCTTCATGGGAGTGGACCCATCATTGGTGTCCTTTGTCACACCTTCTGCAGCAGGCAAATTTTCTTCCGCTGCAGGGCGATTGAGTTGTTCATCCACGGCAGGCACACTTTCTTCCACCGCAGGCTCCTTTGGTTCCATGGTTTCCAAAGGAGAATTGCCACCATCATTGACCACAGCTGCCTCATTGGCTCCGGTGTAGTCCTTGTCATTTCGTTCCTCGCGGCTAACTTCAGGTTGCACCAGTGCGTCCACCTGTGAACCTCCATCATCAGCTGCTGCGGAGACCTGCGCCCCATTGTTGCAGTCGCCCGTGGAACGTAACACCATATGCACCTCAACCCGTGCCTCCTTCGCACTCCAGGTACTATCTGGCGCATCGACCCGCGCTTCATTGGCGCTCCAGGCCTCATCTTTCCGATCAGCCGTGTCTCCAGCAGTTTCAGAAGTTTCCTTTTCCCTTTGAATGGCAGAATTCTCGGCACCAAACGAAGAGACCTCCTCAGTCGTAATGCACAACTTTTTCTCTTCGCCATCCAAATCTCCAGGGCCATTTTCCTGAACGACAGGCACCACATCCACCACTCGCTCTTCTGCAGCCGACACAATTCCGATCTCCACATTGGGCATTTTTTCTTCTGGACCCACCGATTCCACCGCTGCCACACCCTCAGAAAGCGTCTCCATTTCTTCCCGATCCAGATGTTGAGCTTCAGCGATGTCTGCTCGGTTTCCAGAAATCCCCTCTTCATCAGGAGAACCCGAGGTCGGGGCGTCACCACCACCCCTAGGACCGCTATCCCCGATGGTAGAGGAAAAATCCTTTTCACTTACACTATTTACACCGCTGTTCACACCTTCCATGCTACCCTGCTGTGCCCTAGAAGACTCAGTAGATGACGGAGACGAGGTAGCACCCAGCGTTGGCTCATCTTCCACAGGGACAATGCCCATTCCAACACCTGCCCCCTCGCTGTTTCCAGCCATTCCAGTCTTCTTAGGCATCTCCAGTGTCCAAGCAGTAAAGATATTCTCTCCCATCCTCGTGAAAATGGCGTTCCCATGTCTTCCCATCGCAGTCGATGATTGGAAGGTCAGCAGCCTGAGACGCTTTGCCTCCACCACCAGCGTATAAGTCTTCATCTGACTCTTGCTGTATTCTTGCTGCCTCCAATTCCAGGATTTCTCCTTCGCTCATCACCATAGCAACAGGAACGACTCCTTCTGCGTCCCCAACGACGAGGATACTGCTTCTTGTCGCAGCAACAGGTGCAGTTTCTTCCGCTTCACCTGTCAACAGATCACCACTTTCAGCCGCGAAACTCACTTTGTTGCGAGCTCGCTTGGAAACAGGGATAACATCCCCAACCAGTTCTGTCTGGCACCCTTGCTCCACCATCTTTGACGTAGAGGAGCTGGTTGTTGGCGCTCCCGTTGATTCAGCAGATTCCGCAGCTCGAAGAAGATGCCCATGTTTGCTCAGAAGGCGCAGCAAAGCTGCTTCCATCTGGTCTTCCAGTCCTTCCACCACCGGCTTCTCTTCGCCACGCATACCACCAACATCAACCAGAGCTTCCTCATTTGGAACAATTTTTTCACCCGTTGCAGACCTTTTGACACCACTTTCACCTTGGTCGCCCACATTGGAGCTCGATGATGTCGCACCAGTCCGTAACCAGTTGGTCGCCATGGCTTCAAACTTCCACCCTAAAGCCGAAACACAAACCGCAGGGAACCTAATTTGGGCTCATAACCTACGGGGGGAACCGAAGGGGGACGAGAAACCGAACAGTCAACCCCAACAGAAGCCCTTGATTTCCCTGGATCAACCACACAACAAACCCAAACCACAGGGCACTCACCTTTTACTACCAGGCACATGGCCCAGTCTTGAGCCATAAAAGATTTCCGGGTTTATTAACCCTTTCAACTTCCAACACTAACTCTTTTTACAATACCAGTTGCAGCTCCGCATAGGGTTTAGGGTTTAGGGTTTAGGGTTTGGGGTTTGGGGTTTGGGGTTTGGGGTTTGGGGTTTGGGGTTTGGGGTTTAGGGTTTAGGGTTTAGGGTTTCGGGGTTGCGGGGGTTTGGGGGGAGGGCTCAGGGTTTAGGGCTTAGGGTGCGGGTTGAGGGTTTGGGTTCTTCCAACACGAAGAGAACATCTCCTCCGACTTCCCACAGCAGGTCGAATCAGGAACAGCTGGCTGTATCCACGTGACATGTGATCCTTCAAACGACTGCCACAGATACAACGAACAGGACAAGACCGAAAACCTCACTGAGGGCAAGTAGGCATTGGCTTCATGGAGCCGCATCTGCTTGGGGTAGGAGTCACGCTCCATGTTTGGGTGCTGAGCCTTGAAATGCCTGAAAGCAAAATACCCTTGGCAGGGCTTATGGACAGACATCCCTCAGATGTGTGAGGGCAGCTGTGAAGCCTTCGTTAACCATCTTCGTGGCATCCCCCTTGCTGCAAAGCCGCCATGGATTCTGATCCCAGTGAAGCCAGTTCCGGCTCGTTCTCCACTCCGGTCTGGAGGTGACAGGTGGAGACAGGAGGAGGGAAGAGGTGAACCCTAAAAACCCTAAACCCTCTCATTACAAAAGTACCGCCACTTTCTGGCCACCCTAAACCCTATAAACCCTAAAAACCCTAACAACCCTAAAAACCCTAACAACCCCACTTTCTGGCCTTTCCTCCCACATCTGCCCATCTGCCGTGGCTTTGCACAGCTTTGTTGGCCGCATCAGGCCAATGCGGTCGACGGACATCACAAGGGCACTGCCATCAACGCCGGCACTTTCCTGGTGTTGAGGGTTTAGGGTTTAGGGTTTTGGGTTGAGGGTTTAGGGTTCAGGGTGGAAAAAGCCAAGCAATCACTCAAACGCTTCGGTGATTAGGCTGAAACTGGAGCTGTATGAGACGTACGTTAAACTATGGGACCCTTTTTGCGTGCCCTATTTTTTGCGGCGCCGTCTTATCATACCCTAAGCCCAAGAAAGGGCTTTGAGATCCCCCCCGCGGGCCTCATCACTGTCCAGTTCCGGCAAACCCTCCCAGAGCACGTCGAAGACCCGATTCACAGCCGGGTTCACGCGGTTCCGCCAGGTCTCAACCTAGGGGGGCTTCCCCCTAAAATTCGTGGTCACCTTTTTTTTTTTTTTTGGGGGGGGGGGGGGGGGGGGGGGGGGGGATGGGTATCCTTGTTAAGGGGGGTTTCTATGCAGGAGGAGAGGGTTTGCCCCCCTGAGTTCAGGAACCGCTCCCCCCACCTCGGCGCAGGGCTCCAGGGGGTCCAGGAAGTTCCGGCACCCCACCGGCCAGCCCTCATCCCATGAGTCCTCAGTCTGGGTAGCCCAGCAAACCGTGTTGTAACAAGGGTTCAGGGTTTAGGGTTTCCGGGATTTAGGGTTTAGGGGGTACCCTTTTTTTAAATTTGGAACTAGCTACGCGCTTTATCAGGGAACCTAGAACCCAAAAAAGGGGGCAACAAAAAAAAAGGGCACCAGTGGGCTAGCAAGGAGTCCGGATCTTCGGGGTCCACGCGCCCTCCTAAGAGGCTGTGGCTCGTCCATATCTCCTGGATCGTGGCCTTCACCTGCTTGGCCTCCATAGAACATCAGAGCAACAAGGGCAGGAAACGCGAAATACGCGATACGCCTAAACCCTAACCCTAAACCCTAAACCCTAAACCCTAAACCCTAAACCCTAAACCCTAAACCCTAAACGAGCTGTGCGCAGGACAGCTCGCGCCCGACTGTGTAGCCTGTAATTAATGGGCGTTGCCTAGGAACCCTCTTGCTCTGAGGCCATGTAACAATAGCAGAATGACCCAAACGAGTGAAGTGCTGACGGCTGTTGTGGAGAACTACACCAACCAGAGCAACCATCGCCATACCCCGAAGACACAGCCTCTTGAAAGTACACATCCCACAGGACAGGAGTTCGCCGGTTAAAAGAAAACTGATTGCACAGAAATGCAATTGAACGTGCCGAAGGCTTGGATCCGTTTCTCAGAAGCCAGGCCTCGAGCACATCGCGCACCACGACAAACCCGTGTTCGCCTCAGCCCGACGGCAGGCAACAAAGTCGAGGGCATGGCGAAGAAGACCAACTGACAGACTAACTCCTAAAACGCTAACCCCTAGATCCCTAAACTCCGCACAAAAGCTAAACAGGCTGCCGCCGATGCACGAAAGTAGTCGGTGTAGCCCTCCTCATCTTTCAGGTCGAAGACCCTTGCTGTGGCTTCCTCCAACTCACGGAGCTCCCGGGCCATCGCCGTCCACGAAGCTATCGGGAGCAACTCGCTGATAGAACAGAAGGTACATCCATACTTCCCTTAGAATCTTAATAACAAGAATATGTTTAATATCCTCTTGGGTGTTATACAAACAAGAATATAGAATAATTCCTATGGGGGATATAGACATGTGTACATGCACATTTTTTGCATCACTGGACTTCATCCGGCATTGAGCTTGCCAGAAGACTGCAACTAAAATCTGATCAACTCTCGTGATGCCGCATGCCAGCTGAGTGTTGCAGTTTTGCGCGTTTGCTGCAACCCTCCAAATCTTCGATAACTATCAGGTTGCATGCATCATCTGCATGTCAACTTCCGCTCCGCCGCTTTCCGTGCAGGGCAGCACGCCCCTTTTGTCAGGAAGCCGGCTGCGCAGTGTCCGCGCTGTCGGATCGCACGATGTCCTGATTAATTATGGCGGGGTAGGAGGGAAATGAGGGAAATGAGGGGGCATGGCTGGTCAGCTTTTACAGCAATCCTAGCTGTCAAACAGGCCTCCAAGGTAAGATCGCACAGCAGCCGGTACTGGGCTGGCAGCTTCAGATTTGAGGCCGCGGGATACCTTGGAGGAACTCCCACGCTGGTTGCTAAAGTAGGGTGTAGATTCAACGTGTTGTGCTAGGACCTTGGACCACGAGGCGCGCTTTACCAAAAGCCATAACTTTGCAGTTACGTATACCTTGACCAGCCGAACGCTACCGTACCCTACCTACCGCAAACATAAAAACCGTATCACGCGACTCTCAAAATATTAAGAAGAATTCAATGAAGCCTACCCACACCCACCCGCAGCAACAGAAGTTCAAAGAATATGTGCAGACTTGCCGAAGATCGAACCAAAAACACTGACCCATGTAGAAAGATCCTAACAAACAAGCTGACAGAGATTGACAACACCCTTTAACTCAAAACCAGTTTAACAACACCCTCTAACTCAAAAACATTCAAAAACAAGGCTGAAAGTTTGCGAATTCGCAGATACCTGACCGCAAAATCTCATCATCTAGGGGGTGTGCTGGCCGGAGTCAATACGGTGGGTCTGGCCCGACATAATTCCATCCTTGTTGCACTGTGTCGGGCAAGTCCGTGAAGACGTGCCTAGGACGAAGTCTCAAGGCAACGTGCATGGCGCGAGGCCAACGCCCAAAGTGCAACCAAGTCTCTCGAAGGGCCGGCCATCTATGTACGCGGTGGCAGTGCGGAGGCCTGGTGCAGGTGGCAGCCTGCAGGTTCACTCGGGCGTCACACACCACGCAAGCACATTGCGTCACATGAACTGCTCGTCTTGCCAAGTTGCGCGAGAGCGAAGGCAATGCAGCTCCCCTCTGCAAAGGTCACTGGGAGACGCTCCAACTCCCTGGCAAGATCTGGCAGGGCTGTTCATGTCAACCGGCGCTCCCCTCAAACAGAACAATCAGAACAACGCACCAAGAGAGAACGTGCAGAGCGGTCGGCGTGGCCCGTTTTTGCAAGACCTCTCAACTCTAGTCTGTCTATATGTCTGGGAGTCTGAGCGTCTGAGCATATGCATGCAAACTCTGGAACTCTCCTTGCCTACAGGCAAGAGAGAGAAATTGTGCGTAAGGGCTTATATGACATAAGAGGTTCTGTAGGGGAGATAAGCTTAAGGGTTCCTTCCAGGGGTCCCTCCTTATACCCCTGAATTGCATCACCCTGTACCCTGTACCCTAAACCCTAAACCCTAAACCCTAAACCCTAAACCCTAACCATCTCTTGGGGCCTCCCCCCGGCCCAGACACTGCCATCGGAGGCGACAGCCCAGGAGTGGGCCGCGCGGCCCAGAGGCATCGCGGCCGCCGAGGCCGCCGTCCTCTCTGACTCCCGACTTCAAGACCTTCCTGTATACCTATACATATATACATATATACTTGAGTGCAGACACATATCTAAATAAACTAATGAATAAAAAGATAATTAATAAATAAACAAAGAAAGGAATATGTAAATAAAAGCAAATAAATATATATATATATATATATATACCTATATAAATATTATATATATATATATATATATATATAATGTATATATATATGGTGCAGCGTCGCTGCCCCCCCCCCCCCCCCCCCCCGGTACCCCCCCCACCTGTGGGGTGGTGTGGTTGGGGTTTGGGTTGAGGGTTAGGGTTTAGGGTTTAGGGTTTAGGGTTTAGGGTTTAGGGTTTAGGGTTTAGGGTTTAGGGTTTAGGGTTTAGGGTTTAGGGTTTAGGGTTGAGGGTTTAGGGTTTATGGCTTATGGCTTAGGGCTTAGGGCTTAGGGCTTAGGGTTTAGGGTTTAGGACTGCATGGGGTTGAGGGTTTAGGGTTTAGGGTTTAGGGCTTAGGGTTTAGGGTTTAGGGTTTAGGGTTTAGGGTTTAGGGTTTAGGGTTTAGGGTTTAGGGTTTCGGGTTTAGGGTTTAGGGTCCCCGCCCCGCCCCCCTGTGGTTTGGGCCCCCCTGTGGGGTGGTGTGGTTGGGGTTCGGGTTGAGGGTTGAGGGTTGGGGGGTTTAGGGTTTAGGGTTTAGGGTTTAGGGTTTAGGGTTTAGGGTTTAGGGTTTAGGTTTAGGGTTTAGGGGTTTAGGGTAGGGTTTAGGGTTTAGGGTTTAGCGGGGGTGGGGGGGGGGGGGGGAAATACCCATGGGGGGGGGGGGGGGTGGGGGGGGGGTACCGACACGGGACACGGAACCATATATATATATATATATACAGAGGTGTGTTTTTTGGTTTTGGGTGTTGGGATGTTTGGGTTTACTCTGCAAGCACCTTCCATCACCTTCTCATCGCTACATCTCTCAACCACGACATCTCTTCATCGGTCCACTGTGGGGAGACGAGGCCGACAAAGCCATCGGAGCCCGCAATGACCTGCCTTGGTGTCTTGCGGGTCTTCCGCAGTCGTGTTAACAACATGAGCACTGATACTATTCGCAGTTATACAATGAAAAGGATCAAAGATGTGAATTTTCTTTGCTACTCATACTAATCCTTTTCTTAGGAAGTCAAGTAGATAAAACTAAGAATGCCAATGATACTGGTTACGATGATAGGGGTACCTTAATGGGGTCCTTTTTTATACGGAGATCCTACCATTTTGGGGTCTGTATCAGGGGTCCCCCTAGTTTCGTAAACCCCATAAACCCAATACTACTCTAATCTTGATTAAGGCAATATGAACCCTCAACCCTAAACCCCCATTAAGGTAATAGGAACCATAAACCCAAATCATCAAAGCTAGATCCCCAAATAGTAGGATTCCCTTTTGAATAAGGACCCCAACAAGGTACCCCTAATTTCGGAAACCCCCAAATAATCAAAGCCCAGCTTCACTCCGAAGCAGTGGCTGCCGCTCTGAAATCCGCGCGTCGCCCGCGCTGTGGCAGAGCCACGTGTCTCCGGAATGAAAGCCAACGTCACCTCAGGGTTTAGGGTTTATAGGGTTTAGGGTTTAGGGTTTGGGGTTTAGGGCTTAGGGTTTATAGGGCCCAAGCCGTAAGCACAACCTCACACCTCCTCACAGACGCCCCGCTGCCTCGTCATCTCTCCTGCCGACCGCTGGATCCGAGCTCCTCTGCGACCTCTCTCGCGTCACAGGGCAATCCGGCACCGAATCTTTGGGGTTTAGGGTTTAGGGTTTAGGGTTTCAGGGCTTCAGGGTTTCAGGGTTCAGGGTTTAGGGTTAGGCATGCTCCATGATCGCTCATGTGCACAGGTTGCTCTAAGGAAGCCACCAGCCCACAACCTTCGAAGGAGCGGCACCAGCAGTGCTGGCAGCGCTGGCAGCGCTGGTTGCATCGGAAGTCATGGGAGCCTGCGGGCATGCAAAGGGCGGCAATCAAACTTGAACTATGCCGCTGTGAAGAACTGACTCGGGTTGCTGCTTCATGGAGCTCTACTGCCGGGTTTCTCAGCTTTTTCTTTCCACAGTAACCACAGTCCCACCTTTCCATTGACATACCTTAAACGCTCACTAGGGCCCAAAGCACCGGCAAGCACCCAAGACATGGGAACAGCCCCGGCGTCCTCAGCGGCTCGGGGCGGTGGCTTGAAGGAGCTCGAAGAGCGCCAAGACAGGAAGGAGCTCAGAGTGCCTGCGCGGCACTTTTTTGGCATAAGGCTCGAAGCCGCGCCCCTCGTTGCAGGCGCGCGCGCCTGCTGCCTTGAGGAAGCTGGGGGCGCCAGGTCCAGAACCCTCCGCCGGAGCCTGGCAAGCGCATCGACGATTCTGACTTCTCCTGAGGCTTTGAAGCTTCGCGTGGGCTAGGAGCCTCTGGCGTCGTGCTCACTGCACTTGCGCCCCAGCCGTTGGGTCCAAGCCCGCCAACGGCTAGGAAGGGCCGAAGGCCCAGATAGTCCACTGCCGCCTGTGCGTCTACTCGGGCTGTCGGGGAACACCGAAAAGCACTGACTGGGCGCAGCAGCAATGCGCCTGGAAGTGCTGCATGTGCTCCGCTGGCACCGTGGGGGATGACGCAGGCCGTGTTGGGCTCTCAATCTTGCAGTCCCTGAGCCAACCCAGGATGATGTCAAAGACGTCAGGGTCAATGTCCAAGAAGAACCTCTACTCCCCTTTGAACCTGAATAAGAATATTATTTCTAACACCCTCCTTGGGTTTGATATAAGCAAAAACAATAAAAAATAATAAGAATAGTAGTTTAAACATCCTCTTGGGTTTTATATAAACCATTTAAAATAATAAGAATAATTCCCAAGGGGGATATAGGAACTGACCCATGTCGTCCTTCTGCAGCTGTCCATCCCAGCGCCCTGAGAAGCAGCTCCCGGGGCTCACATTTGGCTTTGCGTTTCGGGCTCTTTCGGGCTCTTTAGGTTTAGGGTTTAGGGGTTTAGGGGTCTAGGGTTTAGGGTTTAGGAGGGTTTAGGAGGGTTTAGGAAAGTTTAGGGTTTAGGGTTTAAGGTTTAGGGTTTAGGGTCTCTTTGGGCCTATAGGGCTTCAAGCGAACTGATGCTTCGGTTTCAGGCCTCCTGCTGCGTGAAAATTGAGGGTTTACGAAAGTAGGGGACCCCTCATAAAGATCCCCAAATAGGGTTTAGGGTTTAGGGTTGTAGGATTCTCGTTTTGATAAGGACCCCAATAAGGTACCCCTAGGTTCGGAAAGCCTCCGTGAAAGTCTTGGGGACGAAAGCTTTTGAAGGACACGAGTTCTGCATGCCAGGGTTTTTGCTTCAGGGCACTTGAGGGCTATTGGTGTAGTGCTTTTTTGGAGCTTTGGCATGTCTTAAGTCTGGGCCCATGCGGCAACACATCGTGTCTGGCACGAAACTCGACCGCAAGCTAGCTTACACACTTGACCCCGCTTCCTCAAGTCATCTGGAGGCAACATTCGCCCGAGGCCGAAGCCATGGCCACACCCGCATCATGATACGCGTCAAGAGCATGCAATGGCCAGCTGTCCTCCTTCATGCGATGGCCAAGCCCCGCGCGCATCATGAGCGTCAGCTGCGTGTCCCCTTCCTGCGATGGCCAAGCCCCTCGCGCATCATGAGCATCAGCTGGGTGTCCCTTCATGCGATGGCCAGGCCCCACCCGCATCATGAGCATCAGCTGCGTGTCCCCTTCATGCGATGGCCAAGCCCCGCGCGCATCATGAGCATCAGCTGCGTGTCCCCTTCATGCGATGGCCAAGCCCCGCGCACATCATGAGCATCAGCTGGGTGTCCCCTTCATGCGATGGCTAGGCCCCACCCGCATCATGAGCATCAGCTGGGTGTTCCCTTCATGCGATGGCCAGGCCCCACCCGCATCATGAGCATCAGCTGCGTGTCACCTTCCTGCGATGGCCAAGCCCCGCGCGCATCATGAGCATCAGCTGCGAGTCCCCTTCATGCGATGGCCAGGCCCCACCCGCATCATGAGCATCAGCTGGGTGTCCCCTTCCTGCGATGGCCAAGCCCCGCGCGCATCATGAGCATCAGCTGCGTGTCCCCTTCATGCGATGGCCAGGCCCCACCCGCATCATGAGCATCAGATGCGGTCCCTCATGCGATGGCCAGGCGCGCATCATGAGCATCAGCTGCGTGTCCCCTTCATGCGATGGCCAGGCCCCAACCGCATCATGAGCATCAGCTGGGTCTCCCCTTCATGCGATGGCCAGGCCCCACCCGCATCATGAGCATCAGCTGCGTGTCCCCTTCATGCGATGGCCAAGCCCCGCGCGCATCATGAGCATCAGCTGGTGTCCCCTTCATGCGATGGCCAGGCCCCACCCGCATCATGAGCATCAGCTGCGTGTCCCCTTCATGCGATGGTCAGGCCCCACCCGCATCATGAGCATCAGCTGCGTGTCCCCTTCCTGCGATGGCCAGGCCCCACCCGCATCATGAGCATCAGCTGCGTGTCCCCTTCATGCGATGGCCAGGCCCCACCCGCATCATGAGCATCAGCTGCGTGTCCCCTGCTTGCGATGGCCAAGCCCCGCGCGCATCATGAGCATCAGCTGGGTGTCCCCTTCATGCTATGGCCAGGCCCCTCCCGCAACATGAGCATCAGCTGTGGCCAGGCCCCGCCCGCATCATGAGCATCAGCTGCGTGTCCCCTTCATGCGATGGCCAGGCCCCACCCGCATCATGAGCATCAGCTGCGTGTGCCCGTCATGCGATGGCCAGGCCCCACCAGCATCATGAGCATCAGCTGCGTGTCCCCTTCATGCAATGGCCAGGCCCCACCCGCATCATGAGCATCAGCTGCGTGTCCCCTTCCTGCGATGGCCAGGCCCCACCCGCATCATGAGCATGAGCTGCGTGTCCCCTTCCTGCAATGGCCAGGCCCCACGACGCGCATCATGAGCATCAGCTGGGTGTCCCCTTCATGCGATGGCCAGGCCCCACCCGCATCATGAGCATCAGCTGCGTGTCCCCTTCATGCGATGGCCAGGCCCCGCGCGCATCATGAGCATCAGCTGGGTGTCCCCTTCATGCGATGGCCAGGCCCCACCCGCATCATGAGCATCAGTTGCGTGTCCCCTTCATGCGATGGCCAGGCCCCACCCGCATCATGAGCAGCAGCTGCGTGTCCCCTTCATGCGATGGCCAAGCCCCGCGCGCATCATGAGCATCAGCTGGGCCTTCATGCGATGGCAAGGCTCCACCCGCATCATGAGCATCAGCTGCGTGTCCCCTTCATGCGATGGCCAAGCCCCGCGCGCATCATGAGCATCAGCTGGGTGTCCCCTTCATGCGATGGCCAGGCCCCACCCGCATCATGAGCATCAGCTGCCTGTCCCCTTCATGCAATGGCCAGGCCCCACCCGCATCATGAGCATCAGCTGCGTGTCCCCTTCATGCGATGGCCAGGCCCCACCCGCATCATGAGCATCAGCTGCGTATCCCCTTCATGCGATGGTCAGGCCCCACCCGCATCATGAGCATCAGCTGCGTGTCCCCTTCCTGCGATGGCCAGGCCCCACCCGCATCATGAGCATCAGCTGCGTGTCCCCTTCATGCGATGGCCAGGGCCCACCCGCATCATGAGCATCAGCTGCGTGTCCCCTGCTTGCGATGGCCAAGCCCCGCGCGCATCATGAGCATCAGCTGGGTGTCCCCTTCATGCGATGGCCAGGCCCCTCCCGCATCATGAGCATCAGCTGTGTCCCCTTCATGCGATGGCCAGGCCCCGCCCGCATCATGAGCATCAGCTGCGTGCCCCCTTCATGCGATGGCCAGGCCCCGCCCGCATCATGAGCATCAGCTGCGTGTGCCCTTCATGCGAGGGCCAGGCCCCACCAGCATCATGAGCATCAGCTGCGTGTCCCCTTCATGCAATGGCCAGGCCCCACCCGCATCATGAGCATCAGCTGCGTGTCCCCTTCCTGCGATGGCCACCCGCGCGCAGCATGAGCATCAGCTGGGTGTCCCCTTCATGCGATGGCCAGGCCCCACCCGCATCATGAGCATCAGCTGCGTGTCCCCTTCCTGCAATGGCCAGGCCCCACCCGCATCATGAGCATCAGCTGGGTGTCCCCTTCATGCGATGGCCAGGCCCCACCCGCATCATGAGCATCAGCTGCGTGTCCCCTTCATGCGATGGCCAGGCCCCGCGCGCATCATGAGCATCAGCTGGGTGCCCCCTTCATGCGATGGCCAGGCCCCACCCGCATCATGAGCATCAGCTGCGTGTCCCCTTCATGCGATGGCCAGGCCCCACCCGCATCATGAGCATCAGCTGCGTGTCCCCTTCATGCGATGGCCAGGCCCCACCCTCATCATGAGCATCAGCTGCGTGTCCCCTTCATGCGATGGCCAGGCCCCGCGCGCATCATCATGAGCATCAGCTGGGTGTCCCCTTCATGCGATGGCCAGGCCCCGCGGCCAGGCCCCGCGCGCATCATGAGCATCAGCTGGGTGGCCCCTTCATGCGATCGCCAAGCGCCACCCGCATCATGAGCATCAGCTGGGTGTTCCCTTCATGCGATGGCCAGGCCCCGCGCGCATCATGAGCATCAGCCGCGTGTCCCCTTCCTGCGATCGCCAAGAGCCACCCGCATCATGAGCATCAGCTGCGCGTCCCCTTCATGCGATGGCCAGGCCCCGCGCGCATCATGAGCATCAGCTGCGTCTCCCCTTCATGCGTAGCCAAGCCCCACCCTCATCATGAGCATCAGCTGCGTGTCCCCTTCATGCGATGGCCAGGCCCCGCGCGCATCATGAGCATCAGCTGCGTGTCCCCTTCATGCGATGGCCAGGCCCCACCCGCATCATGAGCATCAGCTGCGTCTCCCCTTCATGCGATGGCCAGGCCCCACCCGCATCATGAGCATCAGCTGCGTCTCCCCTTCATGCGATGGCCAGGCCCCGCGCGCATCATGAGCATCAGCTGCGTCTCCCCTTCATGCGATGGCCAGGCCCCGCGCGCATCATGAGCATCAGCTGCGTGTCCCCTTCATGCGATAGCCAGGCCCCACCCGCATCATGAGCATCGGCTGCGTGTCCCCTTCATGCGATGGGCCAGGCCCCGCGCGCATCGTGAGCATCAGTTGCATGTGTTCTTCATGCAATGGCCCAGAGAGACAGCGCGTGAGACACACAGACACACACAGACACATAGACACAGACAAAGACACAGACGCTGCCTGAGAAGACAGAGACGGACAGACGAGAAGAGGAGGCAGACAGCGAGATAGCGAGAGCAATTCTTTGTGTGCATATCTCAACAGTCATGTTACTGTTAACATCATTAGAGAAACCTTACAATGCTGGCCACATCTGGCCACATCCTGCCGGCCTGAAAAAAGCTCGGCCAGGAAAGAGCCCCGGCAGACGCAGAGCGTCTCGCGCTTGACGGTGAAGACTTTGCCACCAACCTCAGCATCCGCCCCCGGCATCGTGCCCTGCTGCGCTGCTTTCGAAGGTCAGGGCTGGGAACCCTAAACCCTAAACCCGAAACCCTAAACCCTACACCCTAAACCCCAAACCTTCTCGGGCCGCTACATTCAGGCTGACGATCTCTTGCAAGTTCACGGAGGCTGCTTGGCGCCGGGAGGAGCGCTCCTCCAAGACGTTTTGCAGGTCCTCAGAGGCACGTCATGACAAGGGCGCCATGAACGGCTACTCGATTCTAAGGGTTTAGGGTTTCGGGTTTGGGGTTTGGGGTTTAGGGATGCTCAGGGCTTAGGACTATGGATTTCCCTTTGCTTCACTGCTTCCTCGTCAGCTTGTAGCAGCCTCTGGGAGTACTCCGTGTGAAGCTGGACACGCGACGCCTTGCATAACAACCCCGACATGTGATTTGAGCAGCTTCCAGTCCGAATCAACTCAAGAAGCGACGGGGAAACATATTATCAAAGCATGACTCTGCGCAACGTGCTGAAGCTTGAGCTCAGGCCTCAAACTCCAAGATGAGCTTCTCCTTCTCCTCGTGCAGCTGTCGTCGGCCCGTTTCGACCGTCCTGAAAGCGGGCGTCTTCCACAACTGGTGCTCAACGGCTGCCTCCACCGGTTGAACCCGACCATGTCCTACCATCCTCCCACCCATCGCTACATACTTCACCTCTAATTGTGCAGCTTCCGAATCGAGCTCCCCACTACATGGATCTAGATCCTAGATAGACTTTGGTGGTCCGTCTCATAGTCCGTTGCGATGATGGACCTTAAACCTTGGCTCCTGCCGCTGCTGTCTTGTGTTGAGAGCTGCGCCCGCTTGGAAGGCTTTAGGCAGGCATGGGCAGGTGTTCGATGTCATGAGTCATGGTGCTCTTGCTGTAAATCGCGATACCAAACCGTGAGCCACTTTCCAACCACGATCAGCGCGTGGCATCACAAACTGGTGGAGCTGGGCTCCGCAGTCGCTGTCATCAGTCTCGACTTCGCCTACGTCTCCCGCATCGCGCCTGACGAGGTCGCTGGCCAGCTCGTCCACGCGGGCGGTGTCAAGCGCCGCGATCGCCGCGCTGGGGCGGCCCTGGGAGTCCTCTGACATGGCAAAGGCATGGATGGACCCAAGGGACCCCGGATCGCGGCGGGCCGCAAAGAAATTCACCCGCCAAAGCGATGGACAAAGGCCAGAAGGCTGGTATGTCAGCTAGGTTATCTAGACATACTATCTAAAATTGGAGTGGTGTTATAGGCACGTTGGTGTGAGTATTGGCCAGGTCGGAATCGTTTCTGCTTGTTTGTTGGTTGGTTGGGGCTGCCGTTCTGGAAGATTTCTGCGAGCAGAAGAGAGACTCCGGTGCAAACATCATGACATGACATGACATCACATGGCTGAGCGACGCAGAAGGTGATCGCACTTTTGCACGGCACATTGCATTTAATCCACCACCTCTGCCGGTGAAAATGCCTCGAGGAACGTGCAGAGGTGAATTCATCCCGCAGCAGCGGCGCAGGTAGCTCAAACTCAAAGGGCCCTTCGTAGTCAAAGATACAAATCTTTGAACTGCACGGCATCGACATGCACTGACCCAGTTGCCCATCGCCGCTTTACTGCATTCGGCTTGCCCCAATGTGCTACGGAGTCAACACAACTGATCATACACGTCACATCACACCCGTACAGTATCAGACACAAATCACGCCTCCAAAAGCCTTGAGTGTAGTCCCGAGTCCCACCTCTTAGTAAGATGAGTAAACGCAAGCCCGTCTACCCCATGGCAGGCTTGAAGCGACTTCTCGCGAGCCCAGTCAGCTCTCGATGCTGAATCTGGGCTGCAATTCGCACTGTACTGTTGCGAACTTGCCAAACAAATTAAACACTCAGGTGAAACCTCTCTGAAGCAGGTGCTGGCGCAACACTAGCCGAAGGCAATTGACATGTCCATTGCAGACAAGAACCAGCACTGCTTGATTACCTGCCATCCGCATGAACTGCTCAGTCGAGCGGAACAAGGAGCTCCCTCATTCCTGCGCCTGGAACGGATGACAAGGGCACATCAAGAGGGACGCCTGCTGTCAGAGCGATGCATTGCAGTTTCAGCCTGTGCTGTTCTGTGAGCGCGCGTGATGTTCCGATGCTGCGCGTCCCGGCGGCCTTCTTGCTTCCCCTTTTTTCCTCGTAGGCGAGTACGACCTTTCGTCGGGATCGAGAAGGTCTTGGGATGCCATTGGGAGTCATTGTGAACATGCGCAGCTGTGGCTCACATGGCTCCCGACCTGGTTAGCATCGTACTCCTCGTTCTTGAGCTGTCTGACCTAAACCCACATGTTGCCAAGAAGCTGCAAAACGGAGGACAGGCACCCAAAACGTCACAACAGCCAAAAGGCACCATGAGGGAGATCTGCACCGACTGGGGCCAAAGCTGCGGTGCTTTTCGCCTCCTCCAGCAACTCCTGCTCCTGCATCCGGATGCCACATGGGCCCGGACCCAAACAACTGGCACACTTCACCCTGTGCAAGGATGTGATTCAGCATCACTAAAACGCAGGGGTACCATATTGGGGTCCTTATGATAAGGGGATCCTACTACTCGGGGGTCCACACAAAGGGGTCCCCCTCATTTCGTCAACCCCCACGTGCCCGAAGCTTCGAAGCTCGCCACAACGAACCCCCCAAATGCAAACCAACCCTAAACCCTAAACCCTAAACCCTAAACCCTAAACCCTAAACCCGAAACCCTAAACCCTAAACCCTAAACCCTAAACCGCGTCCGAAGCGCCTTCTCGCGCTTTTCGGCTCGGGCATGCAGGGCCTCGCAGCGAGAGCTGTAAGGCCAGCTGCCCCAGGCCCATGTGGCCACTTCTCTAAACCCTAAACCCTAAACCCTTAGAACCTCAAAACCCTAAACCCTTAGAACCTCAGTAAAAAAACATGTTTAGTATCCTCTTGGATTTTATATAAACAAAAATATATAAAAACAACTCCCAAGGGAGATACAGAAATGCCGCCCCTTCTCAGGTCCTTATTCTAAGGCGGCCCCCTCTTGTTTAGGGCGCCCAAAAAAGGGACCATGACTTCGAGAACTCACCATGCAGCCTATGTCCTTATGTCCCAGTCTTCTGAAGGAAGGGCGCCTCCCAGCAGCGTCTCTCTCAGAAAGCCGAACCCCAACATGAAACTCTGCTTGATGCTTCTCTGCACCCGTACGTAACCCGTTTTTACCCCGAGAAATTCCCCAAACCCTGAACCCCTTGAAACCCTGAAACCCTAAACCCCGAACCCACTAAACCCTGAAACACTAAACCCTGAAACCCTAAACCCTAAACCTCAACTAAGCCCTAAACCCTAAACACTGAATCCTGAAACCCTAAACCCTAAACCCCCTAAACCCCCTAAACCCTGAACCCCCCCAAACCCGAAGCCCCGGCCTTGCGCTCTGCATCCGCCTCGCGCTCTTCCGCGCGGGCGGCCTTCACGGCGTCCCGCGCTGCTGGCTGCTGGGCCTCTTTTGTTCAGCCAAAATCTCTACGTAAGAACCTTAAACCCGAAAACCTAAACCCTGAACCCCCTAAACCCTAAACCCCTTAAACCCTAAACCCTGAACCCCAAACCCTAAACCCTAAACCCCCTAAACCCTAAACCCCCTAAACCCGAAACCCCACATGCCGGTGTGGGAGGAGCGATGGGGTCCTTCAGCTCATCGCGGCGCCGCTTCACATCGGCCTCTGAGATGGAGACAAAGCGGCTTTGCACCATGACATGACATGGGTTTAGGGTTTAGGGTTTAGGGTTTAGGGCAAAGTTTAGGGTTTAGGGTTTAGGGTTTAGGGTTTAGGGTTTAGGGTTTAGGGTTTAGGGTTTAGGGTTTAGGGTTTAGGGTTTAGGGTTTAGGGTGTCAAATATAATGATCCCTTTTGGGGGTACCCTAAAAATGAAGGTGCCGGATTATAAGAGGGATCCAAAAAGGGACCATAATTTTGACCACCACCCACATGTTCTTGAAGCTTCCCCCGAGGGGATGGCTTCCCCCTTGCAAACCGAAAAGTGCAAAACCACGGGTTCTGTAGGATCTGAAGTACACAAGCATGTCAACATAGGAGCGAGCTATTCCCCCCCCCCCCCCGGATTTCCCCCGCCTCGCGCTGGTGAGCCGCTTGACGCGCCGCCTCTGCGGCTGCGAGGTCAGACCTCTGAGTGGGAGGCTCTGCTCTCTACATCCGCTCTTTGCACATGGCAGCGCGCCACGTGGCAGCGTAGCGGGCGCTCTCTTCGCACATGGGAGTTGACGAAAATTAGGGACCCCAAAAAATAGCCCCCCAAATAGTAGGATTCCCTTTAAGGACCCCCCCCCAAAAAAAACGTACCCCTCATGTCTAGTAAAACCCCACAGGGCAGCAGGAAACCCTCACACTTCGGGCCCGAGGGGCTCCTTCGCGCCGCGCTCGCCGCGCAGCTGGGCTTCTTCTGCCTCAGCCTCCTTCTGCCTCGGGCAGCCCGCCGAAGAGGCGGGGTAAAGGAAGGTTGCTGAAGGCTTATAGGGTTTGTAGGGCTTATAGGGGTGGTAGGGTTTCTAGGGCCTACAGGGTTTGTAGGGCCTATAAGGGCCTACAGGGTTTGTAGGGCTTATAAGGGCTTACAGCCGCATCTCGGCTCTTGATATTCTTGATTGACACCGTGAGGCGATGCGACACCAAGCTAACACCAAGTGATATGGGCAACTGAGCCCCCCCCCCCCCCCCAAAAAAAAAAATAAGGGGGGTGGGGGGGGTACCAATGCACCACCAAAATCCAGAGGAAACCCCCAAAACAGGCCCTAAACTCTAAACCCTTCCCTAAACCCATCTAAACCCTAAACCCTAAACCCTAAACCCTAAACCCTAAGCCCCTCCAAAATTCGTTTGGGGCTCAGGGAGCCCGGCTCGTTCAAGGCGCTCTGCACCGCTGCCTCAGCGTCCGCCTTTGCCTGCACAGCCGTGGCCCTCCGCAGGGCCACCTGCCCGTGGGACAGAAGGAGAAGGGCCAAGGGTTTAGGGTTTAGGGTTTAGGGATAGGATTTAGGGGATACGGTTTCGGGTTTAGGGTTTAGGGCTTAGGGTTTAGGGTTTAGGGTAGTTTAGGGCCATCTTACCAATTTCGGGGTTGTTACTATCACCATCAGGGTTGCCAGCACCATTGCCATTGCCGTTACGATTACCATTGCCATGGCCATGACTGCTATTGCTACTACCAAAAACCGCTTAGTAGAAAACGTATTGGCAGTGCTGTTCTCCATCCGGCTACGATTAGTACTACCAATACGATTCTTCTATCAAAATTATTCATGGCACTACTGGTTGTCCTAAACCCTAAACCCTAAACCCTAAACCCTAAACCCTGAACCCTGAACCCTGAACCCTAAACCCTAAACCCTAACCCTATATGTCTGTTTGTTTGCGTACCTCTTGAGACTCTATGCGAAGCTGCAGACCCTGCGGCCTTGCGTCGCTGGGCGCCGGCTTTCGTCTGCGCCTGGCGCGCGATTCTGGGAGCTGCCTAAGATAAGTTTAGGGTTTAGGGGCTAAGTCCTCGGAAGAATCGTCCGAGCAGGGAGTTTGTGTAGCCCTGCCCTCTCCTCCGCTCTTGAACTTCGAGTGAGTGGGGGGGAGGGGGGGGGGGGGGGGGGGCGTCGTCGTCCGAGCCTCCCAGGCGCTGCGCACGGCCTGCCAAGCCTTCGGCAGCTGCCTGAAAGCAGCCTTCACAGCGGACTGGACGGCCTTGACCTTCAAGCACGGATCTGCTCATCCCGGCCCTGCGCGTTCGGCGCGCCGACCTGGCCTGGTCCATCCTTACCGGCCGCTTCTGGGTCTTCTGCAGAGACTCGGCGAACCACATGCCGGCCTGCAAACAAAGCGCGAAATATTGCAGCCCACCATTTCGGGTCGCAGGTCTGAAATCAACAGGGCTACGCAACTCTCGCAAAGTTCTCAAGGCCATAGCCTCAACGAAATTCTGCACTTCCCGGAGCACCTGTGTGTCAGGGGCCCAGGGGGGTCAACTTGTTGCCACTACGTGGTGCCCACTACGTGGTGCCGGTCCTTGCAAGTGCTGCGTGGCTTGGCCAAACCCCCCCACCCTCGGCTTCATTCTCGGCCCCCCGACATTCTCACGCGAGGTCTCCGCGCGCTGCAAAGCCTCCGACCCAAGTGTGCTGAGTCTCCGGAGGCAGCTCCGCCAGCCGTGGCGCAGCTCTGTGCCTTCGTGATGAGCTGGTCCAGGCGATGCCGCTCTCGTTCGCGGCCTACGAGCAGCATGAAGCAAGGTGACGCTGCGAGGGAACCGTGCGGCGCACACGTCGCGAGGTGCCCGATGCGCACGGAAGCTCCTGATCAGCGCCTGCCTGGCTCCACTTTGATCACGTCCTCTTCCAGGGTCTCGTACTCCGCCTACGACAGGAGCCAACTCAGGGCCAATGTTGCGCCCATGCTCCTTCCACTCTCCTTCCCGCCTGTCGGAAGGAGTTGTTTTCAATCGATGTCTTCAACTTGTCCAATGCCTTTTGAGCTTTCTTTAACCTTCATGGACAGCTCGCGCAGCACTTGGAGATTCGCCCGAAGCACCCCCCACGCGCTCGGCCTGTCGGGCGCAGCATCGGCGGCACAGTCACCTCGGGAAACGTAGCCAAGCGGTTGGGCCCCAAATGCTGGACTTCCCTATGACTCTATGTCGCCTGGCCTGTGGCAGCACCACGCTGATCGACGAGGCCCAGCTGGCCCTCGGCACTTGAAAGTGCCTGACTTGCAGCAAGCAGAGCATTGAGGTGTCCTTTCTTCTCAGGCTATTTTTGCAACATACAGAACGCCGCACCTGCACGAATGTCTGGTGATTCTCCTTGGATGTTTCGGCTGCCTCACGCCAACAGTCAAGTTCATTCCAGAACTCTTTCTTGCAGGAGAGCACACAAGCCTTAAAAGAGACTTGGGGTTTACGAAAATAGGGGACCCAGTATCGACCCCATAATCGTAGGATCCCCTTAAAATAAGGACCCCCTATTCCGGAAAACCCCATTTGAGGAAAGTCCTGCTTCCCCGAGACATTTCCTGCCTCGCCAGCTTTGAGACCGGCAGTCTCAACGTCCTGCGGCGGTGCAAGAGAAGTCGAGGCTACAAACCCTAAACCCTGAACCTTCTCCCTAAACCCTAAACCCTTATCCCTAAACCCTAAACACTAAACGCCGAATCTGAAGGCAGAGGGCCTCATTTGCCGTTGTCAACGAATGCTGGTGGTTGAGGAGCCGATCCTGCACGCAAAAGCGACCACGGAGAGCACTCCCCTGGGCCCGGCCATGATCCGGCAGGTCTCTGTGAAACTTCAGAGGGTTTAGGGTTCAGGGTTGAGGGCTTAGGGAAGTTCAGGGTTCAGGGTTTAGGGTTTAGGGTTCAGGGTTCAGGGTTTAGTAGGGTTCAGGGTTTAGGGGTGGTCCTGGAGCGTGATCACATTGCAGCCAGCCTGCCGCTTTCATCTCACTTCAGTGGCAGCCCGAGAACCTCGGCCGGCTGCCTTCTCCAGTCGCTGCTGGGCGCCGGTCTCCCCCTTCCGGGCCTTGGCCAGAAGTTTTTGGGTTTAGGGGTTTAGGGGTTTAGGGGTTTAGGGGTGTCGGGGTTTAGGGGCTTAGGATTTAAGGGTTTAGGGGTTTAGGGGTTTTAGGGCTTAGGGTTTAGGGTTTAGGGGTTTAGGGTTTAGGGTTTAGGGTTTAGGGTTTAGGGTTTAGGGTTTAGGGTTTAGGGTTTAGGGTTTAGGGTTTAGGGTTTAGGGTCCCACCCCATTCGGCGCGCGCAATCTATGGCGAAAAAAGAAGCTGCAGGGCCTGGAGCAGGTCCGACCGTCGGTCCTTCCATGCCTCTTCGGCGCGAAGCCGCTTCTCCTGGCTACCCCCATCATAAACGGTTTAGGGTTTAGGGTTTAGGGTTTAGGGTTTAAGGTTTAGGGTTTAGGGTCATGGCCAACATAACCGTGGGTGACGGACCGGTGTGTGAAGCTGTTCTTCATTGAAGATAGGTTGGGGGAGAACAGAGGAACGGGAAATGGGGGGGGGGATTGACACTTTCCGCCAAATCGAAGAACATGTGGTATAAGACAATGAAAGCTTCCAGGACGCTTGTGTGATGTTTCGGTGCTCAGGGACCATGCAACCCTAAACCTTAAACCCTAAACCCTAAACCCTGGCACCAGGGCCGGGATGCCTTCGCATCCTCCACACACGCCGAGACCTCCTCGATCTCTTTGGCCAGTCGCGCCACCTCCGCCTGACCGCACAGGACGTGCCAAAGCTTCCAAACTTGCAGAAACCGTTGAGGGTTTAGGGTTTAGGGTTTAGGGTTTAGGGTTTAGGGTTTAGGGTTTAGGGTGTAGGTCGTATAACCCCCCCAAGAGCAGCCCTATCAAGGCCCTCGTTTAAGGGTCATAGGCTCTAATTCAGGGCAGCTCCACACCTCCGCCTCTTGTCGCGATTGCTGCTTCTGGCGAAGCTTCTCCTCCGGCAAGCCACAGTGCGATGCGGCGATGCGCGTGGGAGAACGGTGATCCGAGCGCAGGGCATCCGCAGCTTCGAGCTTCTGCTTGGCTTCTGCGACCTCCAAAATTTCGGGGTGCGGCGGCTCCTGTGGCCTGCTGCTGAGTCGGATGCTTGCACGCGCCTGGGCTGAGAAACCCTCATCCTGCACGTCATCCTCTCCGGACGATCCGTACAAGCAGGCGAAGTCACCTGGAGAGCTGAAGTAGGGGGCATACTTCGGCTCAAACGTGCCCAGAGTTTGGGTCTTCATAACCCGAAAAAGAAACCTAACAACCCCAATGACCCCAACAAACCCCCCCAAAAAACACCCCTGAATTAACCTCAATAAACCTTGTAAGGGTTTGAGATCTCAATCTCAGAAGTAGCCCTAAACCCTAAACCCTAAACCCTAAACCCTAGACCCTAGACCCTAAACCCTAAACCCTAATTATAAACCCCCAATCCCTAAACCCCCAATCCCTAAACCCTAAACCCTCAACCCCCCCAATCGCATGGCAAGCCGCTGAGGTCCAGGGCAGGCGTCTGCATCCAAGCATCGGAGCCGTCCTTCGTTCTGGACTTGGGGGTTAGGGGTTCATAGGGTTTAGGGTTCATAGGGTTTAGGGTTTGGGGTTTAGGGTTTAGGGTTTAGGGTTTGGGGTTTAGGGTTTCAGGGTTTAGGGTTCATAGGGTTTAGGGTTTCAGGGGTTCAGGGTTTGGGGTTCAGGGTTCATTTCTCCGAGCATGGTGCCCCCGCCCCGGAACCCAGGTCTGAGTGATGGCCAGCCAGACTTACCGAAACACCCCCCGGACCCCAAGATCCAAAGGCGCCCCCGGATGGTTGTTTTCAAAAAGAGTTTAGGGTTTAGGGTTTAGGGTTTAGGGTTTAGGGTTTAGGGAAATCTTGGGGGCCCTGAATTCTTGAGGGGCGGGCACACTCAACAGCGCAGCGGAAGCCCCGCCCATCACAGGCATTTGTGCAATTTGCAGAGCCCCAGACATAAACCTAAACCCTAAACCCTAAACCCTAAACCCCAAACCCCAAACCCAGCTTCGAAGAATGCAATGCGCAACCCAGGAAATCCATGAAGAGATGACATTGGGCCAACTTTTGCTCTTGAGGCAAAGAGGCACATCTTCCCAACACAAACGGCGCGTCGCCGTGCAAAGAAAGCAGAAGAAGAGCAGCTGCCGCACGAAGAAGAACACTCCAACCGGCCACAGAAGTCACAGAAGTCCCAGGAAGCAAGCTTTCCGGTGTAGGGTTTAGGGTTTAGATCCCAATCTACATCCCCGATTTTGTAGGCACCCCGAATTTCGACGGAAAAAAAAAAAAAAAAACATCCGACTTGAATCAGCTTTCCTCTGCAGCTGCAGCCGCGACGTCAGCCTCCTGGCCCTGAGCAGGTGCACTGCTTAGGGTTTAGGGTTTAGGGTTTAGGGTTTAGGGTTTAGGGTTTAGGGTTTGGGGTAGTTGGAGAAACCCTAACGCAAGCTTTTCTTAAGGCGACTCTGACAATCTGACCACCACAACACTCAACGAGTTTGGGGGCTTCAGTGGTCTCAGGCGGCAGAAAAACACTTCTGCGCTTGGCCTCCCCATGCTTCTCGCGAAGAAGGGCCCGCGTCTCACCCTGCAGGCGTATGTGCATCCGGAGCAGCCACCAGACTCGCAGATGTGCATGAAAATGCAGCTGTGACTTCCCCAACTGGCCTGGGACGGATCAACCCACTCAAAAAGCGCACGGATTTCCTTCGCCTGGCAAACAGCTCGTGCATGCAGCAAAGCCGCGCCTGGGGTCAAGGCCTTGCAAGCGCGCCCAGTTTTCTTGAACGTCCGCACCCAGGGGGGCGATTGCCCTATACTCAGGGTAGGCACAAGATCCTAAACCCTAAACCCTAAACCCTCAACCCTAAACCCTAAACCAAGGCGACGAGTCAGGAGAGCTTTGAGCCGCCTGTGCAGAGAGTATCTTCTCGGTCTGCGAACCCCTCCCAGTGTTCACGGACACGGACTGTACAGTGGCCATTGGCCAGCTCGATTTCCTGAACGAGCGCAGCAAGACGAGATATGAAAGCGCATCAGAAAAAGTACCTTGCTACCCTAAACCCTAAACCCTAAACCCGAAACCCTAAACCCTAAACCTGCTTTGAGCACTGCCTGTCGACCTCGGCATGATCCGCTCTTGCTGCCTGAGCTCCATGGAGAAGATCCGAAGCGGCTACTTGAGGATTTCTTTGTGCAGGGCCTTGTGGCCTAGGGACCCAAAAAAGGACATAAGCATGAGCATTTTTTATAGGGATGTCGGGATGTCCCTACCTTATTGGGCTTCATCATAAGGGGGTTTATGTGGGATATCCCTATCCTAATTTTCGCTTAAATGTGCTTTTTTGGGGCCCTACATTGTGGCCTGTGCGGCGAGAGGGAGCGCGAGGCACCATGGCTTGTCCCCGGCGCAATGGCACCAAGGCGAGCATGGGCTCGCAGAAACAACGAAGAGAATTCGACTCAAGTGAGGGGCGTCCCACATGTCCCAAGCCTAAGGTGGCTTCGTGATCCCTTAACAGAGTCGTACAGCAATATCAGAAATATGCAAATAACCTGGTAAGACAAATGCTGATGCAGCGCACGGGCCCAGGGAGATCGTTGACATCTCGCTGTCAAAATTGGACTTGTCGGCAGTTGAATCTGGTGTAAGAGCAAGAGCTGTTTGACAAGCTTGTGCTCAGATTGCAAAGGCTGCCTGGCCTATCTTAAACACCACACCAGACTCACAGGCAAGACCCCAGGCAAAGTGCCATCCTGAACACGAGTGACCCTTGTCACCTTGCAGAGTACCCTAAACCCTAAACCCTAAACCCTAAACCCTAAACCCTAAACCCTAAACCCTAAACCCTAAACCCTAAACCAGCATTCATTCACTCGCATGTTTCGGGGCACTGTGCTTTCCGGAGCCAAGCCTCTAAATCGTGCGGCGCGTAGACCAGCTCATGGTGAAAGCCCCCAACACCAGGCAGTCGACAGCTCTTCCAGAGTTGTATGGAAGCTCTCAAGGCTACTGTAGACGAATGTAGGATGGCACATACAACTCCGGACTAGTAAGCTGTGTGGGAAGACGAAGTATCAAGAGCCATCTTCTTGTAGAAGCACGAACTCGTACCATACGCACATCTACACATATCTACCCAGAACTACGCATATCTACACTCCCCAAACTGCAGGGGCCAAGCTGCCATTGACTGCATCAGTTTGGCTGGCCTCAGATGCGCAGAGTCAGCACCCCTCATTCTCTAGATGATGGACTGACTTTAGCACCTAAACCCTAAACCCTAAACCCTAAACCCTAAACCCTAAACCCTAAACCCTAAACCCTAAACCCTAAACCCTAAACCCTAAACCCTAAACTAAACCCTAAACCCTAAACCCACTTTTGCTTTCCTTTTGCTTGTCTAGGGACTTGAGCTTTGCAAGGTTGCGCGCAAGATGCTCGAGTCTGGTGCAAGCAAGCAGCGTCACTGGGTGCGGCCTCGCCAGAGCTAGGTCTTCATCACGTTTCCGCCACACGGCATCTGCAGAGGCGGTCCAACTCGATGTGCATGTGCATATATACAGATAGATCAAGCAAGCACACACGCACACATATTCTTTCCTGTGTGTATGTGTATATATGTAAATATTCATATTTAGGTTTTGGTTTATATTTAGCTGTTGATACATTCTTGTTTACTATATACTACAGTCTTCTGAGCTATTCCAACTACAGCATGTACATCCCGGCCTGATTTGGCATGTAGCCAGCTTGAGGCCACATGATAGGCATCATAGAAGAGATGAAGTTTGGGTCCATCGCTGCATTCACCTCATCGACCAGAGACCCCTCGCAAAGCAATACGAAGCCAACTCACCCTTCACGACACTTACCGTAAACCCAACCCTAAACCCCCCCCCCCCCCCCCGCCCCTGCTCCACATGGCCCCATGACATCCTGAGACACAAGCTGCTCCTCCAGCTCCTACGCAAACTGGGCAGTTCCCGAACTGATTTTGCCATTGCGAGACTTCAAGCAACCCTGTCCTGCTTGGGCTTCGCTGCCCTTGCCGTTGCCCTGGGCCAGCAAGGGAGAAGCTATGCACTTGTGGCACCCACAGCTACAGCTGACCATTGGGGTTACTGTTATAAGGCGGCCCTATTATTTAGCGTGCCGAGAAAGGGACCATGATTTTAAGAACTGAACACACAAAGCTTCTCAACTTTCAGAAGCCCGGGGGGTGCACTTGCAGCAGTTTGCAGCTGTCGCTGAGCAATTCGCAAAGCAATCACACGCTGCCATCCTGCCATCCCGACACCCCTGTCCTCTGCAGTTCTCCAACAACTAGTATTTAGGGTTTGGGGTTGAGGGCTTAAGGCTGATGGATGCTTGCAACTGCGTTTCGTGCCTGGTGCATACCTGGGTGGGATCCAAGGAAGACAGGCATTGGCGCCAAGTGTGGCGCGAAGTGCCTCGGGCAGATCTCAGGATCAGCTCGTCACAACTTCGGGTGTAAGGTTTAGGGTTTAGGGTTTAGGGTTTGGGGTTTAGGATTTGGGGTTTGGGGTTTAGGGTCACAACTTTGAGAAGCTCAGCACATCCATGTGCTGCCCAAGGCGCTGGAAGAGCATCGGCTGTTGCATCGGGACCTGTTGCGGCTGCACAGGAACCTGCTGCTGGACCATTACCTGGGCTTCTTTCGTTTATTTAGGGTTTAGGGTTCAGGGTTCAGGGTTCAGGGTTTAGGGTTTAGGGTTTTAGGGTTTAGGGTTTAGGGTTTAGGGTTTAGGGTTTAGGGTTTAGGGTTTAGGGTTTAGGGTTTAGGGTTTAGGGTTTAGGGTTCAGGGTTCAGGGTTCAGGGTTCAGCACAAGTGCCAAGTCATGGAAGCGATGGGATGCAGAGCTTCCCTTATGACGTCGCTGCAGTCAGAACCCTAAACCCTAAACCCTGAACCCTGGACCCTAAACCCTAAACCCCTAACCCTAAACCCTAAACCCTAAACCCTGAACCCCTAAACCCTAAACCCTAAACCCTAAACCCTAAGCCCTAAACCCTAAACCCTAAACCCTAAACCCTAAACCCTAAACCCTAAACCCTAACTGCGACCCCGAGGAGCAGGTGGACTGGCATTGCTTTGAGCATGCGGTTGCTGAAGCAGCATCTGGGCCAGCTGGGGCCGCGCATACCTTGCTTGGAGGGTTAGGTTTAGGGTTTTTTAGGGTTTAGGGTTTAGGGTTTAGGGTTTAGGGTTTAGGGTTTAGGGTTTAGGGTTTAGGGTTTAGGGTTTAGGGTTACGGTTTAGGGTTTATAGGGTATAGGGTCGAGGGTTTAGGGTGTAGGGCTTGCACCCAACAATTGCGAGCCATGCCGGCCAGGGGGAGTAGGGTTTCGGGTGTCAGGGTTTCAGGGTTTTAGGGTTTTAGGGTTTTAGGGTTTAGGGTCTAGGGTTTAGGGTTTAGGGTTTAGGGTTTAGGGTTTAGGGTTTAGGGTTTAGGGCCATTTCTACACCAGCAGGTTCAACCACGCCCTTCGCTGCACGCAAAAACCGAGGTGCTGATCAGCGGGAAAATCCCTCTTTCCTGTCACAAGTCCTCGCAGCAGCAGGTAGGTTCTCCAAAGACAGAGGTGCCCGTCATACACCCTCGAATGACTCCAATCCTTCCTACAAGATCCTCGGTACCCCTATTTCGGAAATCCCCGGCTGGCATGTCCAAGATATGTCAAAGTTAATGCGCAGATCGCATACGACCAGACAGGTAAGAAGACATCCTGAGCATTACCCGTCACGCGCATCGGTATCGGGGAGGCATTCAACTGTGAGAAAAAGGAGAGGCGGGATGATGGAACCTGGCGACTGGGCTTTCGAGCTTGTCCCTTGAGAACCATAACAACACTCTAATATTGCCGCATGCGATGGTGGATGACTCCCTCCTAGATGTCACACCCTTATCCCATCTGCTTCTCATCTGCTCCGTCCTGCTGCGAAGGCGGGCTGGCTAGCCTGCCACACAAGGGATGGCAAGGGCTGGGGGATGAGGAGGCCGGCTGGAAAGTAGCGACCGCGGCCTCTGAGGCTCGCCCTTTTGGCTGGCCTTTTGCCTCGCCACTTGCGAGCTAGATCGACACACACGCACACGCACACGCACACGCACACGCACACGCACACGCACACGCACACGCACACGCACACGCACACGCACACGCACACGCACACGCACACGCACACGCACACGCACACGCACACGCACATGCGGCACACGCACACAGCGGAGTGGGTATTGCGACAGGGCGATTGCGAACGGTGCCGTTCCCACCTTGCCAGAGCCTTTGGCACCTTTCGCGCCCTGTGGCGCTTGCCTGGGCTTTTTGAAGCGCTTTTGGCGCTTTTGATTTGGGGTTTGCCAAGAAAAACTGTTGAGGGTTTTGGGTTTTTGTGGTTCCTAGGACAATAAGGAGCTGACCAACTTGGTGTTTAAAGGGGGGTCCCTTATTTTGGGAAGTACCTAGCGGATGCTGTTGCCCTAAAGACTGAGCTCCCCCGGGCGTCACCACTGACTTTGCAACTCGTAGCAAGGTTCTTCTTCAGAACTTGGGAGCCCAGTAACCATATTATAGTAAGGGCACCCTTTTTGGGGTTGGTTACTTTATAAGGGAACGTTGAACCCCAAAAAAGGGAAAAGGGCACCACTGGGCTACCAAGAGAATTTCCCAGCACGATCGCCGAGACTG